GAAAGATTACAGAATAGGAGGGAACGAGAAAGGAAAGAGAGAGTTCAAACTTGGACTAGGATGAGGAGGCTGCTGAAGCAAGAATTCCTTCCACCCGACTATGAGCAGATTATGTTCCAGCAGTACCAACGTTGCCAGCAGGGCAATCGGACTGTGCATGAGTATACGGCCGAATTTATGAGATTGGCGGAGCGAAATAATTTATCAGAGACGGAGGGACAGCAGGTGGCCAGATATCTTGATGGTTTGAAACCCTTCATTCGAGATAAAATTGGAGTGCAGTTTCTGTGAAATTTAACTGAAGCCAAGAATATGACGATGAAGGCAGAATTGATACAGCAAGATAGGGGAAGAAGAGGCTACGAAAATTATCGAGGTAGCAGTTCGAGCAGTTCGATAGAAAAGAGCAGTTTCAATAATCGCTTTAACGCAGGGCGAAATCAGGAAGATAAGGCGGTAGAAAAGTGCCCTATGAACGAGCCGAGGGATAAGGGAACGCAAGCCCAGAAAACTGCGAACCCTAACCCTTATACTAAACCAGCCGCGATAAAGTGTTACAGGTGTAATCAGCCTGGGCACCGTTCTAATAAATGCCCTCAGAGAAAGACCGTAAACGTAGCATCGAGAGAAGAGGAGGAAGATGGATATTGCTGTGCGCCGGATGGTGATGACGATGATTTTGAAGATGAAGAAGAGGAGCAAGTAAACTGTGTGGTGCGCAGGATGATGTTGGCCCCAAAATAGAAAGATGATTCGTAGCGCCATCAGTTATTCCGAACCAAGTGCACCATTCTAGGAAAGATCTTTGCTGTGGTTATTGATAGTAGAAGTATGAAGAATATCATGGGGAAGAAGGCAGTGAAGAAGCTGGGGATACCCGTGGAGAAGCATCCTAATCCTATACGTTAGGATGGATTAAATCTGGAGCGGAAAGCATTCAGGTAACTGAGCGATGTAAAATTCCATTCTCCATCGGTAAGTATCATGATGAGCTGTACTGTGATGTAGTAGACATGGATGTATGTCATGTGTTATTTGGGAGGCCGTGGCAATTTGATGTAGATGCTTAACATTCGGGAAGAAGTAATCAGTATAACCTTGTGAAGGATGGAGTGAAGTATACGTTGCTGCCACTGAAGAACAAAGGAAAACAAGCTACTGAAAATAATTTCCTTACCCTTACGAGGAAATTTGAAGCTGAGGTTAAGGAGACCCGACAGATTCACGTGCTGGTCGTGAAACAAGCAATTGAGACTGAGGCTGAATTACAAGTGCAGGAGCAGCCTGTAGCAGTCAGGCCTTTATTGAAGAAATTTAGCGAACTGATGCCTGAAGAGATTCCAGATGGGTTGCTGCCTATGCGTGATATTCAACACCATATAGACTTAATTCTTGGTGCTAGTCTGCCTAATTTACCGCACTACATGATGAGTCCAAAAGAGAGCGAGATTCTAAAAAAGAAGGTGGAGGAGTTGTTGCGAAAGGGACACGTTCAGAATAGCATGAGCCCATGTGCTGTTCCAGCCTTGTTGACTCCTAAGAAAGACGGGAGTTGGCGGATGTGTGTAGATAGCAGGGCCATTAATAAAATAACCGTGGGTTACAAATTTCCAATTCCGAGATTGGATGACATGCTGGATAGGTTGCACGGTGCTAAGTGGTTTTCGAAGCTGGATTTGAAGAATGGATACCATCAGATTCGGATTCGGCCTGGAGATGAGTGGAAGACAGCTTTCAAAACAAAGGAGGGGTTGTACGAATGGTTGGTGATGCCTTTCGGACTTTCCAATGCTCCAAGTACTTTCATGAGGCTTATGAATCAGGTTCTGAAATCTTTTATTGGCAAATTTGTTGTAGTTTATTTTGATGATATCCTGATTTATAGTAAGACTGAGGAGGATCATCTGATGCATTTAAGGGAGGTGTTGACAGCCTTACAGATTAATAAGCTGTATATTAATCTTAAGAAGTGCAGTTTTTTTAACTAATAAGCTGTTATTCTTGGGGTTTATTATTACTGCTGAAAGAATAGAGGTAGATGAGGCGAAGGTAAGAGCAATCAGAGAATGGCCGACTCCTAAAACAGTTTCTGATGTTAGGAGTTTTCATGGGTTGGCTACTTTTTATCGGCGATTTATTAAGAATTTTAGTATTATCGCAGCCCCAATTACTGAATGTATGAAGAAAGGCAAATTTCTATGGGGAGAGGAAGCTGAGAATAGTTTTGCTATTTTGAAGGAGAAGTTATGTACCGCACCTGTTCTTGCTTTACTTGATTTTGATAAAATGTTTGAAGTGGACTGTGATGCTAGTGGAGTGGGTATATGAGCTGTTTTATCTCAAGAGCGCAGACCAGTTTGCTATTTTAGTAAGAAGCTCAGTGACGCAAGGTAGAAGTGGAGCACTTATGATAAAGAATTCTATTCTGTCGTAAGGGCTTTGAAGACCTGGGAGCATTATCTGATTGGGAAAGAATTCATCCTTTATTCTGATCATGAAGCTTTGAAGTATCTGAATAGTCAAAAGAGGATTAGCAAAGATATGCATGCGCGATGGTGTCAATTTTTGCAAAAATTTCCTTTCAGATTACAGTACAAGTCAGGTGTGCATAATGTCGTAGCAGATGCATTGAGTAGGAGAGCTGGCTTGTTGATTACATTAAGCCAAGACATCTTGGGGTTTGAGCAGTTGAAAGATTGTTATGCAGATGATGATGACTTTGGGCAAATTTGGAAGTCATGTGCAGCTGGTCAACCTGTACAAGAATTTTATGTGCAAGATGGTTATATGATGCGTGGCAATCAGCTTTACCTTCCTCGGACATCATTACGAGAGAAGGTAATTCGCGATTTACATGATGGTGGATTAGTTGCACATCTAGGTCGTGATAAAACTATTGCTGTAGTACGGGCGCGATTTTACTGGCCCCAGTTGCGTAGAAATGTCGGTAGGTACGTACAAAAGTGTTATGTTTGCCAGACTGCTAAGGGTCAATCTAAGAATACAGGTCTGTATATGCCTTTACCTGTTCCTAACAATATATGGAAAGATCTGTCCATGGATTTTGTGCTTGGTTTACCACGGACACAAAGAGGCGTGGATTCTGTTTTCGTTGTGGTTGACAGATTTTCCAAGATGGCGCACTTCATTCCTTGTAAGAAGACTTCTGATGCAGTAAGTGTGGCCAGATTATTTTTTAAGGAAGTGGTTCGTTTGCATGATGCACCCTGCTAAGGGTCAATCTAAGAATACAGGTCTGTATATGCCTTTACCTGTTCCTAACAATATATGGAAAGATCTGTCCATGGATTTTGTGCTTGGTTTACCACGGACACAAAGAGGCGTGGATTCTGTTTTCGTTGTGGTTGACAGATTTTTCAAGATGGCGCACTTCATTCCTTGTAGGAAGACTTCTGATGCAGTAAGTGTGGCCAGATTATTCTTTAAGGAAGTGGTTCGTTTGCATGATGCGCCCTAGAGATAGCAAATTTCTGGGGCATTTTTGGTGGACTTTGTGGAAGTTGTTTGATTCATCTTTGAATTTCAGTAGCACAGCTCACCCGCAAACTGATGGGCAAACAGAGGTGGTTAATAGAACTCTGGGAAACTTGATTCGAAGCATTTGTGGAGATAAGCCGAAGCAATGGGATGTTGCTTTATCACAAGCAGAGTTTGCTTATAATAATGCAGTTCATAGTTCTATTGGCAGGTCGCATTTTTCTGTTGTTTATACAAAGGCGCCTCAGCATACTCTGGATTTGGTACAGTTGCCTAAACAAGGTTTTGCTTGAATTATTCGATGAACGCTACGTCAGGCGGATAAAAGTGTAGCAGCGGATCATATGGCTAAACAGATTATGGAAGTGCATCATGAAGTCAAACAGAAGCTGGAGAAAGCTAATCAGAAGTATAAAGCTGCAGCAAACAAACACAGGCGAAAGCAGATGTTTGCGGTAGGTGATCAAGTCATGATTTTTCTTCGTAAAGAGCGATTACCAGCTGGATCTTACAGTAAATTACAGCTAAAGAAGTATGGACCTTACGCTGTCAGCAAGAAGATCAACGATAATGCTTATGTTATAGACCTTCCACATAGCATGGGCATATCCAACACTTTTAATGTTGATGATTTGTCACAATTTCATGAGTCCACAGAGCCGTTATATCCAGATCCTGATTTTAACTCGAGGACGAGTTCTTTTCAAGTGGAGGAGAATGATGCGGAATTTATTAGTGGTGCATTTCTGGACCGATTGGACAAACAGAAGTCCAAACGGAAAGCGAAACGGTGATGTGATTAGATGGTTTTTTTTTATTATTTTAGTATTTTTTATGAGTTAATTTTAAGGGTCGTTTTTGTAATTTTGCTATTTGATGCTTATTAACTTTCCTATTGTGATTAGATTTCCTATTATGATTAGGTTTCCAATTCAGATTAGGTAACTTTCGTATTATGATTAGGTTTCCTATTGTAATTAGGTTTAACCCCTATAAAAGGGTGTTTAGGATTTGTTTTGAAGGGATACAGAACATTATTATCATCAATATTGAATTTCGAGATTTTTCTCTCTAAGCAAGATTTTGCTTGAATTATTCGCTGACGTTGCGTCACTTCTGGCTCCATAATAAACCCTAGGATGCAGTTCAGTATTTCCACAGTCAGTAGGAATATAGTGTGGAGACTTTGGTTTTCACAGCATTCAACCATGTGGGTGGTTAATCTTATGACGTGAATTCGCATATCTAGGCCATTCATGTCTATGAAAGCATGAGCTATTAGGGAGTGACCCGGATGCAGCTTGTTTAGCATGCAAAACGATTGTTGTCGACAGAGTAGTAAGCGCTAATCTCAAGTTGATTTTGTCGAAACCCAGTTTTGAGAATTGGAGCTTTCATAGATCATGAGCCACGCACACAGAAAAAAGGAAATTATTTCATGCTCTTATAAATGGCAGTAAATCTCGGACCGTCAGACAAACATATATGTTTTTTTTTCCTTCTCACGGTTGAGGAGGGAAACCCCAAGCATGGACTTCGATCTTCATCTTGTTATCGCAGTCCCTACCCTTGCTGCTGAAGAAGAAACTATTGCCCCTCTTCAAGACCACACGATCTTTCCCGGATTCATATATCTTGGGAGATTCTCCCAGCGTGCATGTGTCGTAGCTATCTAAGTCCACCGACACCACGTTGTGCAGAGCAGGATCGTACTTGAATACTGCATGCCAAGAATGAAAAAGAAGGTGGTGATGAGTTTCCTGCATGCACAAACGCAATCCAAAACAGTAGGGACAATTACAAAGTCTAGTTTTACTCACACAGCACATCGCCGGGCCTAAACTTCTTGCCTTGCGTCCAGCCTTCGATGTTGACGGTCCAACCGCCCGCGTCTCCGACCGTGTACTCCGCTCCGCTCGCGTTCTTGAAACTGATGCACGACAGCGCTAGGCACATCACGACCGCAACTAGCCTGCCCATTTTTTGCACTTTGAAAGATTGTTCTTGCAATGTTGAGACACTTTTGTGGAGAATACCTCCTCTCTTTCACACACACATATATAGCCACAAATTCTGTCGAATATGGTAAATTTTACATGAGCAGGTAATTGATACTTCTTATCGACGGGGATATTGGGATGATTTTCTCATTTAGGAACATAATTAATATACTTCCTTATATGCATGCCCCGTTGCTGATTTTGGTAATGATGTAACTTGGGATTCATCCCCAGTTTAATGAAGAAATATGCTAAAAAATGAGCTCTAGAATCGTCCGAGCAAATTTTTACAATATGTCATAATATAAGAATTTATAGCTTAAATCGTGATATAGGATTATGAGATTGCTTTACCACAACCCTAGAAGGAGATGCTGGATCATGATAAAGATTTCTCTTTGATCTTCTTCAAATCGTAATCACTAAAGTGACTAGCAAAATGAGGAGTGGAGAGTGAAGGAGTGGAAAAGAGTTTAGGAAAATAATTCAAGAATTCAAAGAAATGTTTTTGGATGTGTTTATTTCGCTGAAAATTTCATGATAGAGGAAAATATTTTTCACAAAAAGCATTTTCGAGGAAAATTGTTAGGGTCCGTTTGTTTGAAGAAAAATTATTTCTAAGCAATTCTTTTCCAACTCTATGGTGTTTGAATGATAGAAAACTAATTGATTTATGAAAAATATTTTCCATGAACTCAAAACAGCAAACTTATATTAACGGAAAACGAATTCCCCTTATAACAAGAGGGAATTTATTTTCCCTATACCACCAAATAAATAAAAAAGAGAAAAATGTCATGAAAGTCATAAATCTATTGCATTTATGTCAATTTTCTCCTAATCTTTTGACATAGTAACAATTCGGTCCTTCCGGCTAATTTTGGCCAGATATTGCTAACGTGAATGTCGGCCGACCTACGTGGCACTGCTGGCGTTGACTTGGACAATTGTTAATAATATTTTTTTAAATATCGATTTTTTTATATTTTAATTTTTTCTTTTTTTTCTTTCTTCTTCCTTTTCCCAATGATCGACCACCGGCCATGGTCGGACAAGGCCCGGCCGAGTGAGCCTTGGCGAGGCCGCCGTGGCTTGGGCAAGGGCTCCCTTAAGCAAGGCCCGGCGAGCGTCAGCCTCACCCAAGCCAAATATGGCAAGGCTAACCCTCACCTAGGTTAGGGCGGCCTCACCGGGCCTCGCCTAGGTGAGGATAACCCTCACCAAATCTACCTAGGCCGGCCCTCGCCAAGGTTCACCCTTGCCTGGCCAGGTGACGGTGACCCTTACTCAGGTGAAGCTAGCCCGCCCAACCATCGCCTATGGCCGGTCACCGACAAAAGAAAAAAGAAAAAAAATCTGATAAAATAATTAAAATATCATAAAAATATTAAAATATCATAAAAAATTGTCCACGTCAGCGTCGGCGATGACACGTAAGCCGACTGACCTTTACGTTAGTAATATCCGTCTAATATTAGTTGAAATGACTGAATTGGCACTGTATCGAAAGGTTTAAAAGTAAATTGGTACCAAACAAAGTTTATGACTAAATTGGCACAAATGCAATAGGTTTAGGACTTTTTTTACACTTTTCCCAAAAAAAAACTAATTATTTTCCTTAAAAATAATTTTAATGGAAAATATTTTCCTATATTATCAAGTTTTCAGTGGGTTTGTTTGAATGAAAGGATTTTCTACGAATTAATTTTCTTGACTTTCACACTTTGATTTGTTAAAAATAATCGGTCAATGAAAAATCATTTATAGTCAAAGAAAAAAAGCATGCTTAGGGCTTGTTTAGTAACGTTTTTGTTTCTTTGTTTTTCTGTTCTTTTATTCCCCATAATAGAAAAAGAACAATTCAGTTAATTTTTTTGTTCCCCAAAATAGAACTAGGGAATAGATTTGAAGAAACAAGAAGTAAAAAAGATCTACTACTTTTTATTTTGGGAACAAAAACGAGAAACAATTTTTTTACAAAGTAAACCCAAATGTCTCCATTCTCACTCCTTTGCCTCTCCAGCTCGTGCTCTCCATCTCAACTCACACCTCCAAAGCGTAGCCTCTATCTTGTCAGCTCTCTCCGGTGACGCCGCCTCCGTTTGGTTGCCTCTCTCCTATGGCGTGGCCTCCGTTCGGTCAGCTCTCTCATGTGGCGTTGCTTTTGTCGCCTCTCGTTTAGTCCAGATCTGCATAGCTCACCTCTGAACGGGTTTAGGAATGTTGAAGTAATTAAAAATTACCAAAGAAGCTGTCTTCTTCAAAAACTTTCAACAGACAATCATATGAAAAAATTGAGAATAAAAATTTTGTATTCAAGGAACAGAAATTTTGTGCAGTTACCAAATGCATTTCTATTCTTTTTTTATTGTGCAATTGCCAAGTGTGTTTCTGTTCTTTTTTTATTGTGCAATTATCAAACGCGTTTTTTTGCTCTGAAACTGTTATAGGGAATAGGAATAGGACAAACTATTTCCAATCAGAAATTATTTCTGGGAACAGAAACATTACTAAACAGACCCTAAAATTAAGAGAGCGTATTTTTTTTGGTCGAATAAGAGAGCGAATTCTCTAACCTAAAAAAAGGGAAAACAATTTCTCAAAAAAAAAATGATTTCTTAGAAAATATTTTCATCCACCGTAAAGATTTCCCTGAAATAAACATACCTTATAGTTTTTATTCTCGCCAGAAAGGGAAGTCGTTTTCGCCCGGTTAAAACTTGTTGTTTTCAATCCATCGAGAAAACGTATTTCCGGTAATTCAGTTAATTTTCCGTCATCGAAAAGTCAAAAACCAATTTCCGGAAAACAATAATTTATAGAGAAGAGCGGGGGGTAGATAAATAATTTTCTTAATAGGCATTTACATTTTTCCCTTCAAACGCAAATTGACATTAGGGGAATAAAAGGGAGGGAAAAACGGGTCTTTTATGGGAATTTTCTCGGCGCGTCACAGCAGAGTAGAGTAGAGACCCTCCCTCATCAGTCTCAAAAATCGTACTCTCTTAATCACTCGCTCTCTGCTCTCCTCTCTTTCAATCTCTCTCTCTCTCTGTCTCGCAGCAGCAGCAGCAGCAGGAGCTAGGGTTTTTTCGATCTTCATCTTCATCCGCACCAAAAGGTACCTTCTCCTCTTCCTCCTCCTCCTCCAATCTCTTGGTTGTCGATGATTTTCCTCTGTTCAAATTCCGAAAATGGGGCGTGGCATTGTTGTCTGAGCGCTTGAAACGAGCTCTCGCGTGCCTTCTGATCGCTGTCCTTCGTGCATGTTCCCCTTCTATTTGCATTCGTTCGATTGGACGAGAAATGGACAGGGTAGATTGTCGGATCGTTTTAGATTTTCATGGGGAATCCGACGAGTTTGACGAGATACGAGGTGATCGTTGAGGAAAAAGAGAACAGGGTTATTCGTTCCAGCTTGGTCGAGAGTTGATTCGCTTCGTTGGATAGCTTCAGCTTGTTGTTCTTTTGTTTGCCTTGATGACCGAAAGGAAAAGGAAAAGACTTGCGCGCCCTTTCTGGCCTCGTGAATACCCCCAGTAGAGGATGGCAATGAGTCGCTCGTGATCCTCGGAGTCGGGCGATGACATCTCGTGCCAAGCGTCATGCCCTTCTCTCTCTCTCTCTCTTTGGCTTGATCAACCTTTTAGTTTTTATTGTGCTAGAAAAATCGCTTTAGCAGAACTGAGCCACTTCATGCTTATGTTGTATTTTGTCCCTTGCCCGCGTGATTATTCACTCACTAGGATGTTTCATGTCCTATGCAGATTTTGCTTTCCATGGGTGAATCTTCTTCTCACAGGGAACAGTTGGGCGGAAGAAGTGACGGGGTGTCACTTACTGGTGATGATATGGACCTATCCAGTGACGATGAAGAGCTGGATGACTCTCCGAGCTTACATGATCTTGGAGAGCCATTTCTGATGGGCTTTTGTCGAAAGGCATCCACTGCATTCTTCCATGAGTACGGTCTCATCAGTCACCAGATCAACTCCTTCAACGACTTTATCGAAAATGGAATCCAGAACGTTTTTGATTCCTTTGGAGATATCGTAGTCGAGCCTGGTTATGATCCCTCGAAAAAGGGTGAAAGTGACTGGCGCTATGCACTCGTGAGGTTCGGAAAGGTCACACTCGATCGACCGCAGTTTTCCGGTGATAAGCTAGCCGAATGCGGGAAGGAATATTTGAATTTACTGCCGAGGCATGCTAGGCTCCAAAACATGACATATTCATCACGGATGAAAGTGAACATACATTTTCAGGTGAATTTGCAGTTTGTTGCAGGTGCTGAAATTCTAAGAATGCAGGTGTTTTTTTTTTCTGCTTATGCATGATTCTCTGCAATGCTCGGTAATGTCTCCTAGTCAGCATGCCATCCTCCAGTATTGTAGGGCATAGCCTGAGGTCCTTGCTGCACCTTGAGATAAGTTTTGCATCAGCCCTGGGTAACTTGTTTCACAGTTGTGATCTCACGTATGTTTTTCCCTTGGATAAAAGTGATCTTAAACATTGGTGGTGGCGCTGGGCCTCCCAATGCTTCGATATATATATCACCAGACACCTTTTGCACTTGCTTCATCCCTAGAGAATAGATTATCTGTCCTAGATCATGCCTGAGAAATTTGTCACATCAGTGCATTCTGTGGCGCCATCGAAGTCGGTTTTGGAAACTGTTTGACCCCTAAACTCCAAGTATATGGTTCTTTAGCATCGATTAAATTATTTATTGTCTTTTTCATTAGGTGTATACCCAGAAACTGGTGCGCAGTGACAAATTCAAAACTGGGAAAGAACAACTTGTGGACAAGGAGGTGACAAATGATATGAGTAAAGATGTTGTGGTTGGGAGGATTCCCATTATGGTGAAATCCAATTTATGCTGGATGAGTGAAGCTGAGAAAGGCGATTGTGACTTTGATCTTGGAGGTTATTTTCTAGTCAAGGGTGCAGAAAAGGTGAGTCCAAAGCTTGCTTTTCATTACCTTCCCACATGCTATTCTTGGTTTTAGAGCGTGCAAAATTTTGTTGGCTTAGGCTAGTACACAGTGTGCTTTCAATTATCCCAAGGGTGGGGCTATTTCCTTTCCTATATGACTAAATCCACTCATTTTTCTCTAGATAGATAAAATTGGCTTTTGTGGTTTCCATATTTGCACAATTTCCATTAAATCAGGTATTTACCTTCTATGGTTTACCTTCAAATTTAGACTCTATTGCTGTTTAGAAAATTAAAACTAGTTTATTCTTTATCTTTGTCTCATAACAAGTTTTCTGCTCTTGGTCTCACCTATCTAAAAAGCTCACTATCTTGGGGAATTTTTATTTTTTTAATTTCATTAGTCTAAAAAAATATCAAGTCTCTTTATTTACGATATTAAAAAAAATTATTCTTCCTTACTATTGGCGACACTTTTACACAGAGTATTTAAGACATTCTAGGAGTATCTGAACATGTATTGAAAACATCGAGGTGAAAAAAGTAGGCACCTTGACATTTTTTGGGTAATTGTTCCATGAATGATAATAGTTTTCGTTAGTCCAAAATGAATGAAATTTCACTGGCCTGTTAAAATAAACTTCTTATTTTATGCAAACCTTTGGTTTAATTTACTTTCATCTCTTAAAGTTTTACGTTAGGGAATATAACTGTGATTTTGTTTTTGGTTAATCTCTGAAGAAGGTCTTTTTATATTTCGTGCGATCATCCCATTATATGTTATGCATATGTTGAAAATTCTCTAGATTCTACTTGACAATTAATTCATAAATTTGCTCAACAATGTAGATGATCTTTTTTAGATGCCACTGTGCACAGCAAGAGTCCTTGACTTTCGATTTTCTGGTTTGTTCTATTAATCCAGAGTGCATGATATTTTGTCTTGACAGCTTCTTTTTGTTCCTTTGAAAAACAAATCCAAACTTAGGCATCTCACGTTAAAGCTTAATGAGATAAAGTTCAAATATGTTGGTGCATCCCCTTCCGCCGTTGTTCATGCGTTTGTCAATTTGAGATTCTGACCATGCATTGAAATTGCCTATAGTGATTTATGCTCGCTCTATCTTGTTTTGCTACAGACATTTATAGCACAAGAGCAGATCAGTTTGAAGAAACTCTGGATTTCTGATAATCAGGGTTGGACAATTGCATACAGGTCGGCGTGGAAAAGGAAGAGGTTGTATATAAAGCTTGCAGGAAATTGTGATGTTGATTATATCAGAGGGGAAGAAAAGGTTCTCACGGTATACTTTTTGTCGACGGAGATTCCTATATGGATATTATTTTTTGCCCTCGGTGTGTCATCAGACAAAGAAGTTGTGGAGCTAATTGATTTTGGTCATGATGATTCGAGGGTTGTGAACATTCTGTTTGCATCCATTCATGAAGCTGATGAGAAATATAAGGGTTTCCGCAAAGGGGGTAAAGCACTTAGTGAAGTGGAGAAAAGCATAAAAAATTGCAAATTTCCACCTGCAGAATCAATTGAAGAGTGCTTGGACAACTATTTGTTTCCGAGTCTGACTGGCCGTAAACGGAAGGCTAGATATCTTGCTTATATGGTGAAATGCCTGTTACAAGCGTATACCGGTCGCAGAAAATGCGACAACAAGGATGACTTTAGAAATAAGAGGTTGGACTTGGCTGGGGAGCTTCTTGAGAGAGAGCTGAGAGTGCAAATTTTGAATGCCCGAAGGCGCATGATGAGGGCTATCCAGAGAGATCTTTATCCAGACCGTAGTATTCAAGACATCGAACACTATCTAGATGCATCCATCATCACCAATGGTCTTTCTAGGGCATTTTCAACTGGAGCGTGGTCACATCCTTTCAAAGCAGAAAGGATATCTGGTGTTGTGGCAACTCTACGGCGAACAAATCCATTGCAAGCAGTTTCTGATATGAGAAAAATGCGTCAACAGGTCAATTACACTGGGAAAGTTGGAGATGCCCGATACCCGTAAGTATTACATGTATAGTAATCTCTCCTCATATGTTAAATGCTTGATGTTGCCCCATTTAGCAGACTACTCGCCATGTGATATCAACAGGGTCTGTGATTCATTTTTAAGGTAAAATCCAACAGGTGCCTTGAGGTCAAATGCTTTTGTTTGGCCAGATCATCACTTGCGCTGTGTAGTTATTTTCATGCTACAATTGACATTTTTTTGGCATTGATTCTACTTTTTTTTACATAGTTGATATTTTGTCATTGGAAATGCACTCACATCTTTCTTAATCATGTAGGCACCCTTCCCACTGGGGCAAAGTGTGTTTCCTGTCTACGCCTGATGGTGAAAATTGTGGGCTGGTGAAAAATTTAGCTGCGACAGGGCTTGTGAGTACCAATACATTGGAACCTCTGGACGGAATACTGCATGACTGTGGAATGGAAAAGGTCACAGATGACTCTTCTACTTCACTTCGTGGCAAAATCAAGATTTTCTTGAATGGGGATTGGGTTGGCATCTGTGAGGACTCTCTTTCATTTGTCAGCAATCTAAGAAACAAGCGGCGCCAGAAGGAGCTGCCTTCCCAGGTTCCTTGAAATTAACCCTAAACTGAATATACTCCTTTTTGTGTCAGTTCATTTTACTCGAGTTGAGAGCGGCCGATAAAATCATGAACTGCAAAATTTATTATAGTAATGCGATGCCTTCAACTAGATGCTTGTGAAGTATTGCAACTTGCTTGACCTATAAATTCCTCGGGTGGAGCTTATACATTAGCGTAGACAACGTACAGGAGCTGTCAGTATAAGCACGTTCAGCACTGATTTCAGGTTGTTGATTGATCTAATGCTCGAGGTTTGAATAAATTTTTCTGTTCTTTTTTGAAACTCCATGCTGAAAGTTGGGCGTTCAATTTATGTAGGATCTTATAATCTCTGATTTATGGCTCAGTCCAATTGCATCTTAACCGCTTAACCAGTAATATTCAGTTTCCTTACTCCCCTCGTTTATCGGCTTAATGCACGCCCTGTGGACTCCCAAATTAAGTTGTAAGAGCATACCAAACACTTTTACATGTGTATAATTTAACCAGGCGAAGTCTTCATCTGAGAGAATGAGTGCCTGTGCTGGGAAAAATTACAACTGCAATGCAAGTTGAAATTTCTAGGGCTTATGTTGTTGGTAGTACTGAATTGATTGAAATATGCATAGAAAATAAAATGGCAGAGTTATTGCATTGATATCTTTATTGGACGAGGGCTGAAGAAGTGATTTGTTTGCTCTTTTTATTTGACAACTTCATATGTGGAGTACAGATCTTGGTTTATCAGCAAATCGTAATTTTCTTGTTGCTTCTCTAGTTATTCCGCTAATTTTGAATTTTAGGTGGAGATCAAGAGGGATATACATCAGGGAGAAGTGCGGATATTTTCAGATTCTGGAAGAATTCTCCGTCCTCTTTTAGTGGTCAACAATCTAAAGCGTATCAAAGCACTGAAAGGGGACCAATATGATTTCTCAACTTTGTTGAACAAGGGGATTGTTGAACTTATCGGGGCCGAAGAGGAAGAAGACTGTTGCACAGCATGGAGTGTCAAGAACCTCTTCAAGGAAGATGATCAAAACCGCTCTGTAAGATATACACATTGTGAACTTGACATGTCATATCTGTTGGGGTTAAGCTGTGGTATCGTTCCTTTCGCAAACCATGATCACGCAAGAAGAGTGCTTTATGAGTCTGAGAAACATTCTCAGCAGGGAATTGGTTTCTCCACAACAAATCCGAATATCAGGGTAGACACTCTTTCCCACCAGTTGTACTATCCCCAGAGGCCACTTTTCCGGACAATGATATCTGATTGCCTCGGAAAACAAGGGAACTCTCTTGGGAACAAGGGAATGCTACCAAAGCCGGAGTTTTATAATGGCCAGAATGCTATCGTAGCAGTGAACGTTCATCTCGGCTATAACCAGGAGGACTCCTTAGTGATGAACCGTGCTTCAATGGAACGGGGAATGTTCCGATCAGAGCACATCAGGAGTTACAAGGCTGATGTTGAGAATAAAGAATCTCTAGAAAAGAAGCGTAGGTCAGAGGACTTGGTAAATTTTGGAAAGATACAGAGCAAAATTGGACGAGTTGACAGCCTCGACGATGATGGCCTTCCATTTGTTGGTGCCAACTTGCAGAGTGGCGACATAGTCATTGGTAGGTGTGCAGAATCTGGCACGGATCACAGTATTAAGCTCAAGCACACAGAAAGGGGAATGGTACAGAAGGTTGTGCTCTCTGCAAATGACGATGGAAAGAATTTTGCGGTGGTTTCTCTTAGACAGGTAATCAAGCATTTCTCCCACTTAATCACAAGTTATGATAAATTTGATTTGCATACCTCATGCATCTTGAGCTTGCACTTGCTGTTAGTTATTGGTGAAATCTGCTGTCCACAGTATAGATGTCACGTTGCTCCCATAATCATTTTGCTTATAATAGTCTGTTTGCTTATAACATTCTGCCATGTAGGTCCGATCCCCATGCCTCGGAGACAAGTTTGCTAGCATGCATGGGCAAAAGGGTGTCCTTGGCTTTCTCGAGTCACAAGAGAATTTCCCCTTCACCGTGCAGGGCATAGTCCCAGATGTCGTTATAAACCCGCACGCTTTTCCCTCACGGCAAACACCTGGCCAGCTACTGGAGGCTGCTTTAGGAAAGGGGATTGCTCTCGGAGGGTCAGTGAAATATGCTACCCCTTTCTCTACACCGTCCGTGGAGGACATTACCAACCAGTTGCATAGGTGATTACTGAAACCTGCACCATATGTGCATCCTGTTGTGTTTATCATGTGTTGACGTATGTGTGGATTACGTGTCCTCAATGATCTCCAATTTTGACTTTCTAAATTGTTAAATGCTGTCTACATGCTGCAGGGCTGGATTTTCGAGGTGGGGGAACGAAAGAGTGTACAACGGTCGGACTGGTGAAATGGTCCGATCATTAATATTTATGGGCCCGACATTTTACCAGCGGCTGATTCACATGGCTGAAGACAAGGTTAAATTTAGAAACACAGGACCCGTCCACCCACTCACTCGGCAACCAGTTGCCGATCGCAAGCGATTTGGCGGAATAAAGTTTGGAGAGATGGAGAGAGATTGCCTCATCGCGCATGGCGCATCTGCCAATCTACATGAGCGCCTCTTTACCTTGAGCGATTCATCCCAAATGCACATCTGCCAGAAATGCAAGACCATGGCGAATGTTATTCAGCGATCGGTACCGGGCGGCCGAAAAATAAGAGGTCCTTATTGCCGGATGTGTGAGTCAGCTGATGACATCGTGAAGGTAAATGCACCTTACGGTGCTAAGTTGCTGTGCCAGGAGCTCTTTAGCATGGGTATAAGCCTTAAGTTTGATACCCAACTGTGTTGAGTGCACTGTTTGGTGGGGGTTGTCGTAGGGCTCTATCTGGCTGGCTTTTGGGGTTTGATGTACAGAGGATGATGTTTTATTTATCACCTACTGATGGCAATTGCACATGACAATGAATTATGGGAAGTTCTCTGGGATCAGTGCATTAGGCAAACAACTTATCACTAGCAAATGACGCTCCAATGATCCGCTGGATCAAAGAACAGAGCGGACTTAGGATGCAAGACATTCCTCCAACTTGTCATGAGATGGATATACGTTGTGTAACTGGCGGTGATTTTAAACTGGACCAGTTCTCGGTTGCGTGCTAAATTCATCACTATAACTCTTACCTAAATCAGAAGATCGAGAGTCCTGTCCTGATAGGGTTATTCGTAGATCATGTTAGTAATGGTTGCAAAAAATCATCTTGAAGTTGTTTATTAATGAAGGGGGAAGTGTAATGTGAGACTCACGAAAAATTTGAAGACAAGCTCAGTTACACTAAGCCAAAGCTAAAGTTCAAATAGCCATGGAATTACTCTGGAAGGGAGGATGGAGAGTAATTGATTCTTGATCTAGTATTAGCGACATGACATTCCAAATGCCTAACTTTTTCTGCCTCTACTCCCGCCCACCGCCATGGGTCACTAAAATGGGGCAAGATTAGGGTCGCCGATGATGGTTGGCCCTGGTCGGTTCCGCAGCCCTTCGATGGAGGAAAAGTGAAGATAGGGGACATGCAAGTTGTAATGGGTAGTAAGGCGATGAACGCTGTATCAAAGTATGATAGCTATTTCTAATATATATATATATAGTTAGCCTATAATAGAGACATGATAAATCGTCAGTCAATAAAGCGTGCAACAGGGAGGCTTTGAAAACTTTCGGATGTTTCGCTAGACGGGCATGGAAGGGGTAACAAAACAAACTACAGCAGAGTTAATCACAATTGATCATTTCTTCCAATTGCGCAACGATATAATCCTTCCACAAACTGGAAGTGGTCGCGAGTGCCATGCAAAGTGAGAGGTAACGAGAAGTAACCCATGGCACTGTGCACTACACGTCCATGGTAAGCAACATTTCTCAAGTACACAAATATACCTTATTATCTCATTTTTCACGACACTTTTACACACGGTGAACATCATAAAACAACTATACGATGTATTACTACGTTCTTGTTCTTGTACTTAATTACGACAGCAACACAACACAACACGTGATGTTTGACGACACCCGGGTACCATAGAGGTCCCCCTCGGTAAGAGATGCCCCTGCAGCATTAAGCATCGGCATCTTCCAACTACCAGACAGTATACGAGGTGATGCAGCAAGGTTATGCAAAAACTTCCACTAGGTGCCACCCAAACCATCACAATGCCTTAGATAGAAAACCAAATGAAAATGTGAACCTGGGGAAAGATCATAACACCAAGGACATTTTACTTTCTTTTTCTGTTCTCAATTATATAAGCCAAATCAATTGACTCCAGAGAAAGTAAAACAAAAGCACCCCAGTTTCTTCTTTCGCAGGTATCCTGCGATAGGTTTGTCAAGACAGAGTAAATATCCAACAAACTATTTCAAGAGAAATTGGCGATGGATATCTGAAGTCTCTAACATAAAGTCGCATGCAACTCAGGCCATATGATGGAATCATGTTATGTGTCAAAAGAAACCCATAACAAAATGACCTAGGCACAAACTCAGGAAGAGGAAGTAGTAGATGCAATCTAAGAGATGATACTTACACGAACTATACCATCAAGAATTGACATTGGTAAATGTTCCAATCTGTTACAGAAGGAAAACTTTAGGCTCAACGCTAAGAATCATAAACCAAGTCACCGCTGAATGTTCAGCATTTCTTTAGCCTCGGTCTGTTCCACCAACAGTTCTTCGCTCGCATATTTGTTGAGTAGTTCCATCTTCTTCTTCTCCACAATCATCTTCTCAATCTCCTTCTCGTCCGGCAGTGGCACATGAGCCACAAACTCCCTCTCCTTCTCTGTTCTTTCCTTCTCCTCCCTCTCCCTCTCCCTCACTCTTTCTTCCTCGACCACATCCTCCTCCTCCTCAAAGAGCACCTCCTTCACGTTTACTACTTCCCCACTCTTCACAGCCTTCTTCGCCTCCAGCCTAATTTCCTCCATCCTCTTCCATTCCTCCACCGCCTCCGCCCTCATCTTTGCTTCTGCCGGTCCCTCCACTCTCTCCAGCACGCCATCCTCGTCGTCCCTGTACCCGTAATAGCTAGCGTCAATCCTCTTGTATATGTCATACCTTGTCCTCCTCTTCCTCAATTCCGGTGGCTTCTCAAACAATTCCCGCACACCTAGAAACAGTTCGACGAAAGATCAGCTACATTCTCGACGCTAAACAAACAAGGGAAGCGACAGAATCAAACTTGCAAAGATACATCCCCATATCACATGACAACTGGCGAATTGAACATAACCCGCATTCGCACATTCTGAACAGGGCATAAAACAAGCTGTAGCTTAGCATGCATCGAACAAGGTGAACTCTACGAACTCTTTCGCATTGCCTGCTTCTACACTACATTCTATACTATGCAGCAATAGCGGAAAGATTGCCCTGAACTAAAGCATCATCCATTCAAGCACATCGTGCTGTGGCGGCAGTCGACACAAGATCTTGAAACTGGCTTGGCCGGTGGTCAACTTGCGACAGCGCGAATAGCGCAGCCATGTGAATGAGAATCCGATAACTGAAGTATACTACTGAGCTAGTATTTCTAAGTTGGCAGTTGATTACATAAACAAGAACTGGCTTAACTTGGTCATATATCCATGGCACTCCAGCAAAATGGATGAAAGAGAAGATTACCAGGCAACTTTTTAGCAGCACCGAAGTAGCGATAGCCGGGGCCCCGGCCGCTAGGGTTGGGGACGTCGACGATATTGCCCTCCAAATCGGTCATCTTAGGGGCGTGGCGGGCGTAATTGGGGCCGCCGAGCTCAACGATGCGGCGCTCCCAATGGGACTTCTCGCGGATGAGCTTGTTGATCTCGTCGTTGAGGTCGCGGAGGCGGTGCTCGCCGAGGCCTTCGTTCTGGATCTCGGCGACCTTGCGGCCGATCTCGCGCATGATCTGCTGGCGCCACTTGTCGGCCTCCGAGAGGTCGCGGCACTCGGAGGCGAGGTAAGGGCGGCGCTCCTTGGGCTTCTTCTTCTCCTCCGCCTTGAGGGCGATGAACCGGTTCAGCATCGACTGCGCTTTCTCCTCGTTACGCGCCATTTCTCCCTTCTCCCTCCCTCTTCCTCTTACTCTTCCTCTTCCTCTCTCTCTGCTTCCACACCAACGGCGCCCCCAGGCGATCGAAGAAGGCGAGATCGAGACTGAAACTCGAAGAAGAAGAAGCAATGGAGGAGCGAAATCGGAATCGGAGTCGGAAGTTAGGGTTTAAGCAGAAGAAGGCGAATCAAATCAACGCTCGCTCTTCGTCGTCCATTTGTCATGGGCCGAGTTGAGCCCACACAAAGCCTTTGAAGGTACTGAGCCCAGAACATGCATTCATTTTGCTTTAAAGCTTTGGAAGATTATAAAGAAGGAAGGCCGCATCGGAAGAGAAGCGAATACGGACGAGACGATCTAGGATGGCGTCGAGGGTTTCGCTGAAGAGCGGGGGCGGCGGCGGCGGCGGCGGCAGGGGGAAGGGGGGCAAGGGAGGGGGCGGCGGCGGCGCCCGGGCGGTGGAGGAGGAGGGGTGGGGGGCGGCTCAGGCGATCAAGGAGTGGAGCACGTGGGCGATGAAGAAGGCCAAGGTGATCACCCACTACGGCTTCATCCCCCTCGTCATCGTCATCGGCATGAACTCCGAGCCCAAGCCCCACTTCTCGCAGCTCCTCTCTCCCGTCTAAGTAGTCTCTCTCTCTCTCTCTCTCTCTCTCTCTCTCTCTCTCTCTCATACTCTTTCCCCTTCTCTTCGTGTTTTTTTTGGAGTTTCCGTTTCTGCTCGTTCGAGCTTTGGAGCAGGAGCTGTGCCCCTTACCTGCTACTTTTTTAGTGACGTCTCGATACTGTCAAACTATTCGCGGCTTTTATGTAATCGATCTTTTAGTTGCTTGTCGGTTTCGCTTCTGCTATCGATTCTTCCTTTGTTGCTCTCGCGTTATGGCCGCCGTGCTTTGGTGGATCGGATCGTTGTCTCCTTGTGGGTTGTCGATCTTGTGTCGTGTCTTGGCTGTTTCGGTTCAGAAATTTTGTGCTTGTGTTAGCAGAGAGTGAAAAAGCGAAAACAAGCGAGTTAATTAGGTCTGCCGAATTCCGAAAGGAGGCGGGTTTCGTCACTGGCTTCACTATATGTGAGAATCTCTCCATGTCTTGTGTGTGCTTCACGGATTCGCTGCAGATCAAACTCTACTGCTTAGGATTATAGAATAGCAGAAGAGAGTTATGATTCTCGAATGTTGCGCTAAAGCATTGTTCTTTGGACTGGAACACTTGTCGGTACTCGTCTTATGCAGATGCCTTATACAACAAATACAGCCGTTACTCTTTCCATTTGCCTTATAGCGCAACAACTGGTGGGTGGCGTTTAATGTTTATCGTTGTTTGGCAAGCAAAACCAGCTCAATTCTTGTATTCCTGCCTCCAGCTTCTATTTGATTGCGAATTCCTGAATTATGAGAACTTGACTATTGTACTGTCCTCGCCATTCTCATACTCTCGGTTTCGAAAGGAATGATCGATGCTATGCTCAGCAATGATGGCGTGCACTTGTTGTGCGCTTTCTTTTTGCATGTCTTGTATTTCTCTCTATGTTCATGTGTCCCCGTTTTAAGAAGGGGTTATGTTTTGGTTGGCGGAAGCAGGAATGTAGTTCTGATGACATTGCTCATCGGTGTGACTCTGTTTAGGCTCGCCGTCCTCACTATTCCTGCACATCTAGTGATGGATCAATGTTTCTCTAGTCATTTGGTTTGACAAACTTACACCAGGAAGATGTTTGACCTTTGTATACTGGTCATAAACTTGACAAACTTCTAAAAATTGACGGGCGTACTTGGAGTCGATTCAAGATATCCTCAGGCCTATATGTTTATTAGCAACTCTTAGCCAGGTTGAGGTCTAGGATCTCTGTTCTTGTATGACAATTTCACTATTTATTGGGTGCCAATGGTTGATTTAAGCAGCCTTTGGGCATATTAGGCATGGATATTGTGGATTTTACCTGATATGATTTTTTTTTTTTTCTCTCTCTTCTGCATTTGATGAACCAATAGACTACAAGAGCTTTTGTATGGTCCCTCATGGTTCAATTTTTGTTAAAATTCCCGCACCAAGTGTGACTTTGATTTTGACAAGGTGCAATGGGAGATTGGTCCCCTCGTAGCCAGGCCCTCGACAGCAATTGTTAGCATCTGATGTAGGGGGGACATTAGAGATTTTGAATGCGTGAAATGGGACTGAAAGAGAGCCATTCTTTGATGTGGCAAAGTATCTTCTTAGCATATGCTTCCTTTTGACTATTGATGAGCTGTTCCTGCGTGCTGAGTTGGAATCGTAGGACTCGGTGTTTTTTGTTGGAAGTCGAATTGATCTGCAAGTACCCTTCTCGGATTAATACTTGCCTTGAGTTTGTTTAATGGAGAGTGTTTGACAAATTATGTCGGTTAGCTCACTCGAGTAGTTGGTCTGGCAGAGTAGGAAATAGCAGAAAGTGTCCTCTATTCTTGTTCTTCCCTCTGAGAACTGATTCACAATATAAGAAAGATATGCTGGGGGTGACGGAGCTTCGGTTCATCGTTCCGTCCCATCAAACTTAAATGCATCCTTCAGGATGTCGACGCCTGCCCTGGTGGGAGTTGGGACTTGGATTGTAGTGATGAAATTTATCCAGCTTTAGCCAAACGGGTTAGAACGGGAACAGGCGACCCTTCTTTCATTTTCCACTGTTTTGAAACTCTGTATTGTGATCTGTTATTGGAAGGATATAATGGAGAGCCGATTCCTCGAAGTGTGGAAGAGAACAAAGAGTTGAAATGCTTGCTTTCTACTAAGATAGAAAGGACAGAGGACAGCCCGGCCGTCTATCTCAGTTAAACCCAAGGTTCATACACACGAGATGTTGGACTAGGAAGCTTTGGTCAATGTATGAGCATCTCTAGGTTGATAATCGGGAAGATATGACAAGGTTTATACAGGATCTGGAATGACAGAGATGCGTATCAGGTGCCTCGACTGGTTTCGTCATAGCAATCCACTATTTTACTGTATAATGAAGTAAGCAAAAATTCCATCTTTAGGCAAAGTTCCCCAACTAAAATGACCAAAATGCTCCCAAATCATCTAAATCCTACTCTCTCTCTCTCTCTCTCTCTCTCTCTCTCTCTCTCTCTCTCTCTCTCTCTCTCTCTCTCTCATGTTCGCTCATTTGTACCGAAGCCGTCGCCTTTCACAAGTTGGCCACTGCATCTCTATCTTTCCCTCCACCTCGCCTCTGTTTCCACAAGTAAGTCATAGCCAATGCCCTTTGAGGCCTAATCGAGGTTGAGCTCGACCAGGTCAATATCAAGCTTCACGTTGCGTGCAAGGTTGACGCCATGGCGGAGCCTGACTTTTTGGCTGAGCTTGACACCAAACAGAGACAGAGGACGGGCCGGTACACAGAACGATAGCGATGGAAGGAGAGACAAGCGTGGCCAGGGTAGATGTCGCCGACATGGTGGTGGTTTGGCTTAGGGCGGCGGCTGTGGGCGGCTTTGACTGAGGAGAGGCTGAGCTTGAGTTTGGTTAGAGTTTTGGTTAGGTAGGTTCTATGATCATGGGTTTGCAAAGTTATTATAAGTAATACCTAATACGATCCGCTTGTACATCCTGAATACGACACGAGATAAAATACGAATATGCAATGACACGACATACTTCATTTTATATTGACATGAATTAATACAATACTTTTATCGTGATTCAATGATTTCACTGGTAAAATCAAAGCCATGATATTTTATATCAATATGAATTGATACGAATTACAAATACGATTATGATGCACCAATACCAATTGCCTATTTTGTTGGGGTATATATTTTAAAGGAAAATGACAAATCGTTATTTAGAAGATGTCCGGTCGGGAAATAATTTAAAGCCAGGAATATGCATATCGGAGCCCGTATCTTTTTTCATGATAGTTGTCCACTTGTACTAGACTAAAAATGCATACTCTACGGAATCTGTGATGTAATGCGTAATTTAAGAAAGAGTACATCAAGTAATATAAAACGGGTTACTTCTCAATTGAGACTTAGAATATAATTAAACGTTAAAAAAATTATTACAAAATTTACATGAACCTACATGTCAATATTTGCATTTTGTGAAAATACAAAATATTTTAATTTAAAAAAATTCAGAATACGTATGTCACAAAATTTTAAATTGAATGCCATGTATAAAGTAAACGTCAACTTAAATATATCGTGAGAATAACATAATGAGTAATGTTATTGGTGAATGTAACAAAGATGAGATGAATGGGATAAGTGCACATGTTTATTCGAAAGGGAAAATGGTATCCGAATTTTAACCCAATGTGCAATGTGATCCCTGAACTTTTTATTTATTCAATGTATTCCCTAAACTTTAACACAATATGCAATGACATCCCTAAACTTTCAATTTGTTCAATGTAGCACTTAAATTTTCGATACATATTCAATTTGGGAAAATTGTCAAATCGCTAAATATCATGTACGGTGGCCAATTCGGTTCTAAACCTTTTAATTTTGCCAATTGCCCTAAACCTTTTAAATTCTTGCCAATTGAGTCCTTAGGCCAATTTTGGCCGGCACGCGCACGTGCCCGGCCAAAATTGGCCTAAGGACTCAATTGGCAAGAATTTAAAAGGTTTAGGACGAATTGGCAAAATTAAAAGGTTTAGAACCGAATTGCGCCGTATAGGTTATGATCGATTTGACAATTTTCCCTATTCAATTTAGTATATGGATTTCAATATTGTCCCTGAACTTGACTTAATGGAAGGATGATATTGAACATTTTCATGCAGTTCAATAACTAACTTGAACATGTACAAAAAGTCTAGAGATCACATACCACATTATATATTGAGCCAAAGTTCATGAACCACATTGAACAGATTAAAAATTTATGAATCATATTGCACATTAAGTCAAAGTTTTATGAATTATTTATGTCACCATTCCTATTCGAAAAGATAACAGACGCAACAGATCTAACGAGCTTTTATCAAGTTATTATATTAGTCTTCGCTAGAGCGAATCACAAACTTTCACGAGGAGTAATTCGTGAAATATTATGCGAATAAAAATCGTGGTGAATTTTTTAGAGGGTACAATCAACGAGTATTCCCAAAGCACTTGTTAATTATATCCAATAAAGAAATACTTTGAATTTTCAATGTACCGATTATACTAACACGAGAATGAGGGTGCTTGAGAAATAATCGATTTTCCTTATTGGGGCGCTCAACAAATGAATTAACAATATTTTTATAAAATTAGGAGGGAGACGCATTCCGTTTCGATAATATCATTGGATCTTTTTTGTTTTTTTGGGGGGTCGAATAATATCATTTTGATTTTTGAGGAGTTAAAGGGAAAGAAAGAAAGGCATTTCGATATTGATGACGTTCTATCTCTTCTCTCTCTCTCTCATTTGTTCTTCTCTCGGTTTCCGAGGGGAACAAAGCGGAGCAGAGTGAAGGAAGGAAGAAAGAGAGAGAGAGAGAGAGAGAGAGAGCTGGTGGGAAGAAGCAAAGAGAAAGATCAGGTCGTCGGACGACGTTTCGATCTTAGGAATCTCCTCCGCATCGCATGCTCGCCTCCCGATCCCTCCGGCATTCCTCCCTCATGCGATCACCTTCTCCGATTCCACTCCTCCCGTAATCTCTCCTTCTCTCTCTCTCTCTCTCTCTCTCTCTCTTCCCTTCCCTTCCTCTCAATTGCTCCGTCCTTTGGGGAATACCCGTGCCGTGATGATGTTTCGCCGGTAGATCTCCGTTTTTGCTGCCTGGATCGCGAGGGTTTTCTCCGCCTTCGAGTCTCGGTAACTATTTTTGAGGTGTGTTTGTTCATTCGTGGTCGTTGCTTCCTCCTCGGAAGCAGAGTAAAAATGGGTCGAGCTGAACGAGGCTGAGGATGCTGTTTGCTAGTGGCCCGTGTGTGTGTGTGTGTGTGTGGGTGGGGGGGGGGGGGTGTTTCATTGTGCCTTTAGTGTTGGGAGGTTTTTGGTTGCTCGACTAGTTAGTTCAATTGTGTGTAAGTCGCTACCGCCAGGGAGATATAATGTCTGCATCGTTGCGCCCGCCGTCTCGATCCGAGCTTTTCCGGTGCATGTTCAACTGATGGATGATTTGTGTGGAAGTCGGTTGCTGCTTTCTGGTTCATTTTCTCGATGCCATGATAGCACGGGATAGCGCGAATTGAGCTTCTGCCCTCCTCCGCCTGCGGTGGAATGCATAGGAAGATAGATCCTCATAGCTCATGAGGTTAAATATTCTCGAGAGAGAGAGAGAGAGAGTGGGCTTTTCTATTGTCTGCGTCTTGGTTCCCTGCTAATGCGATGAATGGCGCGATGCTGTTCGCAAACTTCTCTTTAGGTGATGCTTTAAAAATACTGTATTATTAGGATGCAGTCAAACCAATTACAATCGATCTCTTTCTTCTAGCAAGAAAGTTTCCTTATTATAAGAGTTTAGATGTTAAATCATGCTCCATTTGTCTCCTTGTTTAGAACTAAGGTCCATTGTTTGGGCTTCGGTGGGTCCATCCCTGTGGGAGTGTTTTTGTGTTTATTTTTTAAACGATGCCTCTCTCCATCCATTCAAGTTTACAGAAAAATCAGCAACGGTCCCATGCAATCCAAGAGTCAGAGCTACCAAAAGGAGTGTCTGCACAACATTTTTTTGATGATTTTAGTGAAATTTTTTTTAATACAGGCCTTAATTATGGCGTTTGCACGTGGATTCATAGCACAATTTCTTGCCAATTTCCATCATTATTATGAATTTTCCATTTTGATTTCTTGAAGAGTGATTTCATGCAATGTAGGGGAGTCATCTAGCGCAATTTCTCGAGTTATTGCAATTTTGCGTTTTGTTTGACGTGCTCATAACAGTGCTTCCTGTAGGTAGTTGAGATCTATTCAGATGCAGACGCAGCCTGGAAAACCCAGCCTTAAGTTCATTTTCAAATTAAAAAAGAAAGAGGAAGAGCTAGGATCTTCAGGTTCGCCAGATCATGTGGATTGCTCTGTTCCAGAAACTATAGATACTTCGCCTCGAAAGGAGGATGTTGAATCTCAGGAGAAAGAGGATGAGGCGGACCAATCGAATGACGACTCTTCAAAACAGTTGGTTGTTTATGACCCTGCTGCGAATGGTCAAGGTGAAATTGTACCTATGCCCGATCCCATTCAGTCCCGTAGCCCTTCGTTGTTGAGATCCCCCGGCCCAAATCAACCTTCCAAAATCTTACCATCTGTGGGAGCGTTTACCGTCCAGTGTGCTAACTGCTTTAAATGGAGGCTGATACCCACTAAAGAGAAGTATGAAGAAATTCGCGAACATATCCTAGAAGATCCTTTTTATTGTGAAACTGCCCGTGAGTGGCGCCCGGATATTTCATGTGATGATCCTGAAGACATATCTCAAGATGGTAGCCGACTTTGGGCAATTGATAAACCAAACATTGCCCAACCTCCCCCTGGGTGGCAGCGGTTGCTACGAATCAGAGGTGAAGGAAGCACCAAGTTTGCAGATGTGTATGTGTCTCTTTCAAGTTGCTCTCTTAATCTCACTTTGTTTTGAGAGTAGTCGGGCAGGAGGAGTCCTGGCGATTTTTTCATAGTAAAATTGATCTGTCACTGCATTGGGCCCATATAAAAGGACATTCCTGTTGATAGAGAAATATCCAAGACACCATCCTCTTGTCCCGAGTACCGTGAAACACGTATCTTGATGGTGACTGTTCTTTGTCCTTGGGGGTTGTGTGAGGCGATTCAGCAAATGACGTTGCAAGTTAGTCTAACCCACCAGGTCTATCTGTTCTTAGTGGTTCCTAATTCATGCCTTTTCCCTCTCTTTCCAGTGGGAGTTGTAAATCCCAATTAGTTGTGTTATATTCTAAGCTCATATATTATAATCAGCTCTTACTTAACCGTGTTATTGATTGGTTCGTGAGGGGGATCTCATCTAGTCTATACTATTCCACCTTGTCATCTTACTCTTTCTGGGGACAAGCAGTAAATGAACAAGTTTAACTTAGATCCTTTTGATTCCATTTTAACTCATGGGATAGCAACTGCTGTCTGCCCTTGATCTTTCTCCATAAGGTTTGTCTTCAATTTTTATCTTGTGTTTCTTGAGAGTCCAATTGGGAGCATAGGAGTTGACTGTGGCGCTATAGCTTTAGGTACAAGATTGTTGTCCTCTGTACTTCTGGATGTAGTTATTACTTGTTGAAATTATCTGGCATTTTTTACTGTTTTCAGGTATTATGTGGCACCATCTGGGAAGAGGCTCCGTTCAATGGTCGAGGTACAAAAGTATGTTCCAAGCCTTTGTCGTTCGACCTGTTCTCTTACGTAACGAATCCAATACCAGATTTATAATGATAGTTCAGTTGTTTTCACAATAGTTGGAGTTAAGCTATAGACTTTCACAGCTTTAACAACCTAATAGGTACTTGCTGGAACACCCGGAGTTTACAAGAGATGGAGTGACTCTCTCCCAATTTTCGTTTCAAATACCTAGGCCTTTACATGACAATTATGTCAGGAAGCGTCCTGCTCGTGCTCCTGCCCCTTGTGATGGTAGCGGGCTTCTTGATCCTCGTGAAGGTATGCAGAGAGAGTTTCTTTAATGGCAGTTAAATTTTCTGTGTTTTAGCACTCGATAAGTTCTGTCACTTCCAGTCTGAGATTTTTGTGCACTTCCTGACATGTGCACATTAGAATATTCCTTTGTTGTTTAAGTTGACAATGCATTTGAAACTTTAACGGAAAACATTCTTAGGAGCACATGCAAAGTTGGTACAAGAGATTCTTAATGTACTGCTTAAGAGTTCTAAAGTTGTTTTCTCAACTTTTGGTTCATGCTATGTTGTTATTAATTTTTCTCTCTAAATCATGGGCTTCACACTAACTTGGGTGATGAATTTATAACTGTTTAAATGACCTTTGATGTACAGGGAAAAGTTGGGTAAAGTCATGCTTGCTTTAGCTGGGCAGCATAGTCATAGATTACTAGCCTACTAGTTATATCCATCTTGTATCTCATTCTTGTGATTTTACACCCTTTACTTTAATCAATTTGCCTTTTGTTATCCTTTTGTTTTTGGTAAACATTTTTATTTGGTGAGAAGTTTACATGCCATGGTGTATTTTTCTGGTAAAACTTCATATAATGATCATTATCTTTGTCCTCTTGAGTAGGTTTCAACACTTTTACAGATGTTCTGTAATCTTTAAATAAACAGCTTGTTGAAAGTCAACGTTCAGGCAAATATTCAGTATGCAAAATGGTGTGATTACCATTTCCTGTGAATAGTTGCTGCATTGTTAAGGATAGTTCAAATCTTTCAATTTCCTTCCACAGAGACAATTTAAGTATCTTCACTTTATCCTCTTCAGCTAGATTCACTTAGCGGGCTAGTTGATTTGGCCATTTTTATTCTTGTGGCTGTGTGCGGGAGTCGTGAGACTAGGACTGATTGCATTAGACTACCAGTTTAGTCTGTTGATTGTGATATTCATTAATCCACAAGAACATGTGATCACCTGCTGTCTTGCGGCGGCATTTCTAGCCAAGTGTACAGTTGTTTTTCGATATCCACATGACTCGTTACATCTTGATACCCACACAGCAAGACCACTGGCATGGGCGGGGCCCGATGACTTAACAGAGTTGCATCTGCGAACGCCGGGTCTCCCATCTCCTCGTTCGGAGACATCTGATCTGGATCTGGTTCCACCCTCGGCGAAGAAGCGCTCAAAGAAAGCACTGAACAAACAGATGTACAGCAGTAAACCGGTGAACGATCAGCATGACTTTGGTGGAGAGGATCCTAGTCAATGCAGAAGTAGCAATTATGAGATGTGATGCTCTTTAGTTATGTTTGTATTTTGTCCAATCATAGGAGGAAAGAGGTGAGTTTTGCAGGTAACTTTTTGAAAGATGGACGATCCTGATCGTCGGGTAAGGGGATGTTGTATCGTTTTGTCTGGGGAGATTGGCCTATATATATGTATCGGGAAAAGTGTACCTTTGTATCAGTTCATATCAGAAACAAAGATTTCCTGAACAATTGCAATTTTCTGAGGCCATCCCTAGACACTGCATGAGCTTGGGCAAGGCATATGCCTGAGACTGTACGGCAAGCGCATCATGAAGATCCTGCCTCATATACATTTACTTTTTTTTTTTCCTTTTCTAGTAAATTTCTTGATTGAATATGAGCTGGTTCCATTGATACAAGGCAAGAGAGGGAGCTCCAGGATCATGGGCATGCGCTTTGGGATTTCAATGTGGTACCTCTTTGTTTCAGCTTTGTTGTGTAATACATAAATCGGGAATTGGCTTAGACAACTTATGGTTTGTGGTCTGCTGTAGTAAACAGCGTGCAGAATGTTTCAGGATGTCAATTGATTTATCATCAATGTGATAAGGAAGTGGACGTTGTTCACAGCTCCTCTTCGGTTACGCAGAGAAGTGAAGTGACAGAGCTGAGGATGATACGCTTTGCCCAAGATAATATTTCCAATGCTGGTCTTTCTGATCCGCTCAGCAGGAAGGAGCATTGTACGATGGCACTCTAGGGTGGTATTGGTTTGTAGTAAGATATCCATGAGTGCATCCTAATTAGCGACGGCAATGCATATATTTGATAAACTTGTACATCTGGGACTCTTTACAATGCTTGGCGCATTTGCTGGTTAGCCAGGGACTTTGTGGGATCATATCTGAGATTAATCTCAGCAAAGCAAGAGAACGCAATTTGTGTATCTTCCATGGCCCGTTCCTTGTTTTTCCCACTTGTCTTGGGAGCATGATATTCATTCAACTTCCTTTTCCTCGTGGAGGCCAAGGATGCGCTGCGAAGTCATATCCCTGATTCTCGATATCTAGTCATTGAGGTGCTACTCTTTCCTATACATTTAGTCTTAAGCTTTCAGATTCACCTAATTATGTATCTCGATTGCTTCCCGTATGTGAATTTGACAATTTGTTCTCTTTGGTTGACGGATATCAGCAGAACACAGACGATGTTCGTCACCGCTCTCCCTGCATTCCTTTCCTTCCAGGAATTAGGATATTGCCGCTCTCGAGCTATTAATGCAGTTGGATCGTTGAGGATGATCCTTATAAGTACGTAGATTCCATATTGTGAAATGCTAGTTAATGGTAGGAAGACGGGAACATTAAGGCAATGAATGATGTGGACAAATTATTCATTTTCCACGGAACAAACACACCCTAAATCTTTAACCAAACATGCAATCATCACTCACTGCCTAGAGCTATGATTCTGCACCTTTGTTCATTGTTTCCCACGTATTTTTAAAAGGATATGCGACGGGTGGCTTAGAGGCTTCGTTTTATTGTTTTTGCATTTTTTTGTTTAGGGGCATGCAAAATTAAAATTTCGATAAAAATGGGGATGAAAATTATCTTCGCAATAAGAATGTTGCGCTAGATTGTTGTTTAAGGTGTTCTACTTCTGAAATTCTTCAGAAAGAATAAAATAAATCAGAGGGTTTACATTTCTGTGGGATGCGGGTGATCTTTGCAAATTGCACAAATGGGGGATATTAGCGCCAAAGATTGCCTTGCGGAGTGATCCATGACCATTTGTCATTGTACCATAGAAACATGCCCTCGTTCGTACCAATACTAGCGTGGCGATGGCTTGCGCGTGACATTAAAGCCAAAAAAAAGTAAATGAATCTGGTGTCCTACAATTTATATCAAAGAAAAATATGACCAAAAACTCCAAACTATGCCACTTGTGATAAATTTAGCTTTAACTTTTTTTTGTGATACGAAAAACCCCAAACTGTGCCACTTATGATAAATTTACCCTGAACTTTATTTTGTGATACGAAAAATTCCAAATCATGCCACCTGTGACACATTTACCCCACAATACTTTGGACCATCGGCATTTTCGTCTTTTTCCTTTTTTTTTTTTTTTTTTTTTTTTTCTCTCTTCCCTCCGCCATGGCCGGCAGAGAGAAGAGAGAAAAAAAGAAAAAAAAAAAGAAAAAGGAAAAAAACAAAAATGTCCATATGCCAAAGTATTGTGGGGTAAATGTGTCACATGTGGCATAGTTTGAGGTTTTTGATGGTATTTTCCCTTATAACAATCATCAAAGATGCAAATCACTCCACAGTTTCGTGCTTCAAGAGAATGAGATCCTCTAGGAGCAATCCATTCGTTATCTTCGTAAAGAAAGCAATATGTCGTGTAGGTATAAGTTTAGGATATTTTATATCGTGAGAAAATGTTTTGGGTAAATATTTCAGAGTGGGTATAATCTGTAGTTTTTTATATTACAAAAAAAGTTAAGGGTAAATGTGTCACAATAAGCATAGTTTGAGGTTTTTTGTGACTTTTTTCCTTTTCTTTTTTTAATATAAAGAACGAGGGGATGTTTTGAGCCGATTCACCTTCTCGGTGATTTTAAAGGCGCACTCATCCACATTGGTGATGCGTTTAAAAGTTTGCTCGAAATATAAAAAAAGAAGAAGAAGCAAATGTTTATGAAAAAACTTTTTAAAACGGAATAATGACACAATTCGTCCCTAATGTGGTCTCTGCACTTTATTCCATTATGCAATGTGGTTTCCGAACTTTTAATATGTTCAATATAATTTTTGGACTTTTGGTATATATTCGATTTAGTTCCTAAACTATATAAAAATGTTGAATATTGTCCTTCCATGAATTCAAGTTGAAGGATAATATTGAACATTTTTATATACTCCAAGGATTAAATTGAACATGTATAAAAAATTTAGAGATCACATTTAGTAGTTTCAAATTTTATGGACTGCATTGCACATTAAACTAAAATTCAAGGATCACATAGAATAAATTAAAAATTCAGGTAGCACATTATACATTGAGCCAAAGTTCAGGAACTATTCGTGTTATTTTCTCTTTTAAAACGAATGAAAGAAAAATGAAGGAAAATGAATTAACGAGAAATATTTTAATTATTCATAAAAATATTGAAAAATGAGTTGTTGAAGCTATTTTTATTTGATTAATTATTTTTTAATCGATACAAACGATTTTCTTTAAAAAAAAAATAATATTTTTGGAATACCGGGAAATGAACGGGAAGCCCCAAATCGAAAACGTTTGCGGTTCCGCCGAAAAGTGTTCCAAGCTTGAGCCGACGCCGTCGCTGCTGTCGTTGCTCGTCGGGGGGGGAAGAGAAGCACCATCTGTCTCTCTCTCTCTCTCTCTTTGCGTCGGAGCTCCAGCTCAAGCCCTGGACCAACCAGTCGTCGTCGTGTTGTTTGTTGTTCTCCCTCTCCCTCTTTGACGCTTTCTCTCGCCGCCCGCCGTGCCGCTTCAGACCTCGAAGCACCATTAGCAGCCTCCCACCCCCAGCTTTGGAGTTCTCCGCCTAGGTATCTCTCTCTGTCTGTCTCTGTCTCTGTGTGTGTGTGTGTGTAGCCGCCAGGTGCTCGGCAAAATTCCCCTATGACGTCGCGCTGTCAACTTTTTGAACCTAGGCATGCTTTGCACCCTCGCCCCTCGATTCTGCCTCCTCCCCCAATCTCTACTCGGAATAGTTCTTTGGGAATTTGTAGCTACCTTTCTGGTTTACTTGCACATCATCCCTCTCTACCGAAGCACCCATTGGAGTTCCTTCAGCTGGTCGTCTTGTAGAGAATGGAAATGACAAGACATCATTCTAACAGCTCGATGGCCTCCTCCTCCGTCGCTACTGATGAGATTACAGTGGCATTTTTCCTTAATGATTGCCGCGCTTTTGCCTACGGCGTAGAAAACTACGGGGTGTTTATGTAGAGAATTCCAAATGCATACCGTGGTGTTAACCGCGAGATGTATCCCTCCCCGTTTATTTTCCTACTCTACTGATCCAAGTACCTGCAGTTCTATGTTTAAGGAGTGAACTCTGACTTGACATCTGGACTAGTGAACGGGCCTTTCTTGTTCATCAGCATTAATGCTCAGCATTCAATTTGGCTTGACGAGCTTCAGAAACCACAATCTTTCATTAAGAGAAATTGTGTTCTGATGGCAATGTTTTTCTTCTTGGGCCATTCTTCAAGCAAAGTGATTCTAGATTAGTTAAGATATCTCCAAGCTAATGCCTGTTGCATTCGCATTCTTTCTGGAAGTTCTAGCGTTTTCTGGACCCTTTTTGGGTTTTTACTTTTTTGATGTTTTATTCATGGTGAATCTTAATAGGGTCTTAGTCTTGTTTTGTTTATGGAAAGTCTGCAATGCCCAAGAGCCTGAAACTGTTAAGCTGCTTGAATTTTTTTGGTGTAAGTGCACAGGAAGTCCTAAAACTTGTCATGAAAGTGCAATTGAGTCCTAAAACTTTCAAAAAGTGCAATCAAGTTCTAAAACTTGTCGCGAAAGTGCAAAAGTGCACTTTTGCAACAAGTTTTAGGACTTCCTGTGCAATTATTCCAATTTTTTTTTCTTTTGCTGAAGATAGGACAACAATATCTTTCTTGAAACTATTTTCTCTTGGGCTTTGATTTAGGTTTGCTTGACGTTTGTACAAGTAAAATATGGAAGCTTTGGGGAAAAGGAAAGAACCAGCCTCTTCTGAAATCGCGGATTGCTATACTGGATCTTCAGATCAAGGCAATGATGAATCTGCTTCGAAGCGGCATAATTCGAGTCGGACATGTGTGCATGAGGTTGCTGTTCCGACTGGTTATAATTCAAACAAAGATGAATCAGTGTTTGGGACTCTCTCAAATCCTGTCTACAGTGGTGAGATGGCAAAAGGTTACCCATTCAAACTTGACCCTTTTCAGCAAATTTCCATAGCATGTTTGGAGCGAAAGGAGTCAGTTTTAGTGTCAGCACATACTTCAGCAGGTAAAACTGCAGTTGCTGAATATGCCATTGCAATGTCTTTTAGAGATAAACAAAGGGTAATATATACATCACCTTTGAAAGCTTTGAGCAACCAGAAGTATAGGGAGCTAAGTCAAGAGTTTAAAGATGTCGGATTGATGACTGGTGATGTTACCATTGCACCTAATGCTAGCTGCTTGGTCATGACAACAGAAATTCTTAGAGGAATGCTGTATAGGGGTTCTGAGGTATTAAAGGAAGTTGCATGGGTTATCTTTGATGAGATACATTACATGAGGGATCGAGAAAGAGGTGTTGTTTGGGAGGAGAGTATTATATTCTTGCCACCGGCCATTAAAATGGTTTTCCTTTCTGCAACAATGTCAAATGCTACTGAGTTCGCAGAGTGGATTTGCAACTTGCATAAACAGCCATGCCATGTAGTATACACAGATTTCAGACCAACTCCGCTGCAGCACTATGTTTTCCCTATGGGTGGGAGTGGTTTGTATCTTGTAGTTGATGAGCACGAGGAATTCAGAGAGGACAACTTTCTCAAGCTTCAAGATACATTTACCAAGCAGAAAGTTGGCGAGGGGAGCAAGTTTACTAATGGAAAAGCGAGTGGGAGAATTGCCAAAAGCGGTAATGCCTCCGGGGGTTCTAGCATAAACAAAATTGTGAAGGTAAGTTTGCAGACAATTTTACCCTCACTTGCTTAGTGTATATTTTATTGCACAGTCCTCTCTCTCTCTCTCTCTCTCTTTGGGTTTCGACCGCCATGGGTATACTTTTGGTAGCCTTTCTCAATTCTCGTATTCAACATTTTATTTTGTCTACTAAATCCAATTACCACTATACTTGTCTCGTAAGTTTTTCAATATCAAAAGGAGTATTATATATATATGAGCACATTAGCTTTTGAACCCTTTATATTCTTGTGTGTGCATATGTGCCAATAGAGGCCTCTAATTTTGTGAAGTTATGAGAATTTTTAGAGCATTAAGATAACAAGCCATACCTTCATCTATTAGCTTAAGCTTTTTAATCAATTGCAGTGGGTTACACATAATTTTAAATGTAATTCTTATTAGAGCGGGAGGTCTTGTGTTCAAATCTGCCTATGCCCTTTATTCGCTGCTCCAATATAAATTTCTATGCTTCAGTCTTAGGTGAAATCCTAGCCTACTTGTTGAGGGGAGTGTTGGGGTATTGGAATGAGAAACCGCATTCATATATTGCAGTTTAAGCTATTAGATTAGAAGGCCGTCAGTACAGATTAATTACAAGAATTGTCAAGACATCATTTTTGGTATCATGCTTTATGATGTTGAGAGTAATAAGTACCTTTTTGGCACTATCTCTTAAGTTGCTGGTAAGTTGATTGCGGAGTTTGTAGGATTTGTAAATATTGTTAAGAGTTTTTTGAGAGTTTATTTTGCCTAAATGTAAGTTTTTTGATTCCTTTCTTGTCGTACTTTAGTCATTGATAGCACGTTTTTTAGAAGTGTCTTTGACGATATTGTACCATATATATCAATATGAAGAAAATGTTAAATTGTTACGGTTTGCTTTCTTAATGTCTTATAAGATGCTTGACATTTTGAGATATCGCTTTGCTGAATTCTTTTTCTGTTTCATCAGGGCTCAATTTTTGTTGTGGCTTGCCAGCTTATTTTCTGTAATGGTGACTTACAGTTCTGAAAAGTTGGATTCTCACCATGTTGTTTGAATAATGACCTACTTAAAATGAGACAACTTGATGAAAGCATGTCCTCTCTTATAATGTCTCTACTTTACTTAAGCAGATCATGCATCTGCATCTCTTTTCATACTTCCTTTCAGAGGTCTGTTGTTTTCATGCTGAGTGATATTCACTTTGTGCCTCATTGGCCATTGTTCTGCTCTTATTGCACATTTATTTCCTGGATTCATGAATGAACATCAGAGCTATCTCGATTGAGCCATTTTTTCATGCATTAAATTCCACAGTGATTGAATTAGAATCTTTGATGATTTCAGATGATAATGGAGCGTAAGTTTCAACCTGTCATAGTTTTCAGCTTTAGCAGGCGAGAGTGTGAACAACATGCTATGTCAATGTCCAAGCTTGATTTTAACACACAAGAGGAAAAGGATGTGGTGGAGCAAGTTTTTCACAATGCAGTCCTGTGCTTGAATGAGGAAGATAGAAATTTACCTGCCATTGAGTTGATGCTGCCATTACTTCAACGTGGAATTGCTGTTCATCATTCTGGCCTTCTCCCTGTTCTTAAGGAATTGGTAGAGCTCCTTTTCCAGGAAGGCTTAGTGAAGGCTCTTTTTGCCACAGAAACTGTGAGTTTTCCTTTGTAAAGAGAAGGTTTCTCACCCTGCATGGGCATTAGGTTTCATTAGATGTTTTTACCTAGGGTAATAATGTATGATAAGTAATTTCCTGCAGTTTGCCATGGGTTTGAACATGCCCGCAAAGACAGTGGTCTTTACAGCAGTCAAGAAGTGGGATGGTGATAGTCATCGGTACATTGGATCTGGTGAGTACATTCAGGTGAGTAAAAGAGCCATTGCTTAAGTAATAAATTTCTAATCATCACTTTATTTGAATATCTGACTTCTGCAAAGTCATCTGCTTTACTTAATAACTACTTTGAATTAATTTGTAGATGAGTGGAAGAGCTGGCCGTCGTGGAAAAGATGAGCGTGGTATCTGTATCATAATGGTTGATGAGCAGGTAGTCATGGTTAACTCACTCTCTCTCTCTGTGCTCGCATGTAGGGTAGGGCACTATGGGTGGCCCTGTGCAGTTTTTCTTATACTTGTACTTTTCAGTCTCAGATGTCATAGATGCTGCGACTTTTGAAAATTTTGGGGAGCTTTTTTATGGATATAGTTGATGGAGAGTTGTGGAATATGTTCTCCTTGGTTTATGATTGACTCGCTTTATTTCAGATGGAGATGAATACACTGAAGGACATGGTTTTGGGGAAACCAGCTCCTTTAGTTAGCACATTCAGACTAAGCTACTACTCAATTTTGAATCTGATGAGCCGTGCTGAAGGACAATTTACTGCTGAACACGTCATAAAGAACTCATTTCATCAGTTTCAGTATGAGAAGGTGTCTCCCTATTCCATCATTCTTTTATTGCGTTAGCATCTTCAAAATAGTGGTTCAATGCCTGATTTCAGTGATTGCTGTTATCTTCCAGGCCTTGCCCAACATTGGAAGAAAAGTTCAAGAACTAGAAGAAGAAGCTGCAAGTCTCGATGCTTCTGGGGAGGTAATTGCAATTTTTTTTTTACTCTAGTGGTACTGAAAATGAAAAAGATAAAAGACCAGATGGATTAGGATGTGTAGTGCAAACCTTGAACGGTATATGACTTTCTAGGTTGAAGTAGCGGAGTATCATAAGCTGAAGTTGGAAATTGCTCAACTGGAGAAGAAAATGATGGCAGAGATAACCAGGCCTGAGAGAGCTCTCTTTTTTCTTTTGCCAGGGCGGTTGGTATGTGAACATATTAATTTTAATTGCCTTTGAATTGCCATTGCCTTTTCTATCTTTTTCATGGCACTTTGCATGCGTTGACAGTTCATACAGTCTGTCCATGATGAAAAAGAATGAGCCGCAATTCCTTGTGCCGTCACTGTAATGATAAATAGTTAATCACCGAGTAATATTTCTAATATATTCAGGTTTCCTTTCGCCATCACAATCCCTTGTGCCCCGTCATGTTGACAATCCTCTTTTCTATTGTTTTTTATCTGGTGTCTTCTTTTATGAAGTAACCGGTGCTTTTCCTCATCCCAGGTGAGGATTAGGGAAGGCGGAACAGATTGGGGTTGGGGAGTTGTAGTTAATGTTATGAAAAAGCCCTCAACTGGTTTGGGTACAGTGCCATCACGAGGTGGAGGATATATTGTGGATACTTTGCTTCATTGCTCTCCAGGTTTAAGTGAGAATAGTTCACGGCCCAAACCTTGTCCACCTTGCCCTGGAGAAAAGGGTGAAATGCATGTGGTAAGTTGACATTGCAGAGAGCAACTATTGACACTATCTTTTGTGGCATCCCATTAACATGCAGATTGAGCTTTTCAGTTGATAACGTGGAGGTTATGATTTATGACATCCACTTTTATGTTTTCCAGGTCCCTGTGCAGTTGTCCTTAGTTTCTGCTCTTAGCAAACTCAGGATATCAATACCTGCTGATCTCCGACCACTGGAAGCAAGGCAAAGCATATTGCTTGCTGTCCAAGAGCTTGGGAGTCGTTTTCCTCAGGGTCTCCCAAAGCTTAATCCTGTAAAGGTAGTTTGGCAAAATATCACGTACCGGCAGCACTTTCCGTTTTCAAACTAAGCAAGAGGAACCAAATGATTTGGCAAATTCAATTTAGACTGTTGTCTTGCAACTACGTAGCTTAGTAAATAAGGAGTGCCCCTAAGCTTTAGTTTAATTTTAATGTAGTTTTAGGTAGTAACCTTTGTTTAGTCAGATCCTTATTTTTAAAGAATAATTTCTTCCCATTTAAATGAGTAGGTTGGATTTCTCTCATACTTTAGTTCCAAACTTAGGAAAGAGACGTGACAAGAGGAAGTATAAGCTCTTTGGGTCTCATTTCCCTCACTAATAGGTTAATGATTACCCAGCTAATAGAAGGTTCCATTGGTGAATTATACAGCAGTCTAGCACAATGCTCAATTAATTTTGGCCTTATACTATCTTATTGTTAGACATGGAAAATCAGCAATTAACAATGGCTTCAGTGGCTGTGTTTACTCTCAATACAGCTCTTTCCTCTCCTAGGTTCTCAAAGACAATCAATCTTCTTGAAGAGGTTAAGCTCTTTGATAGTTTGTTAAAGGAAGAAGAATTAAGCAGAAGATTGTATTTTACCTACGATTCTGTAGGAAGACATCAAGATTCTTGTTTACCCTTTTTCTTTTCCGGCGATAAGAACGTAATTAAGTAATTGTTGTACTATAAGACCATCTTCTGGTCAAATAGTAGTTCCTCCTTCCCTTGCACTTTCCCTGATGATGTCTCCATGTGCACCATTTAGTACATCCCTATCCCATCTCAAACTCTACAAATGAGAGAGTCTTCTTCGACTCTGCTAAATCTATGCTCTTTGCAATAGTAGTGTGTTTGTGACCAGATATTAGAAATTCTTTTTAATTGAGCAATTTTGATCTATCCGTTTGGAAAGAATAATGGAAAATGACACAAATGGTCCCTGAACTTTGGCCAAATGTGCAATGTGATCCCTGAACTTTTAATTTATGCAATGTAGTCTTTGAACTGTAGCCCAATGTGCAATGGGGTCCTTAAACTTTTAATATGTTCAATGTGGTCCTTGGACTTTTGGTACATGTTCAATTTAGTCCATCGACTATATGAAAATGTTCAATATTGTCCCTGAACTTGAATTAATGAAAGGACAATATTGAATATTTTCATACATTCCAGGGACTAAGTTGAACATGTATCAAAAGTTTAAAAATTCACGGACCATATTGCACATTAGGCTAAAGTTCAAGGGCCACATTGAACAAATTAAAAGTTCAGGGACCATTTGTGTCATTATCCCAAAGAATAATGCATTAGGAACTCAATTTTGTTTATTGAACATTTTGCATCAAAATTTTGCATTTGATGACTACTTCCTCATCAGCAGTGTTACAATATAATGTAAAGATCATGTGCGTGTCAATAAAATTGGGTAGGAAATATTTAATTACCTCAGTTCCAGCCCTTGAAACCTACGTATATGCTCACTACAAGCTAGTTCTTAAATTATATGAGATACTTCTAAGATGGTGTTGTTGGGTGCAATTTCTGTACAAGTTTGCTCAAAACAATTGGTCCCTCTTTTCCTCCTGAGGTAGAAAACACAACCGCCAGTAACTTTAACCAGCATATACCTTGTAGCCAATGACACAATGTAAAGCAAATGCTCAACAAACTTGCTCTTCTATTCTTATATCACCACTTCGAGATGACTGTTGCGTGGATTAGGATTTCTTTTCCTATGGAATCGAGTAAAGTGACCTCAGGGAAGTTTACTCCCTATTATTATTTACAAAAGAAATATTTGTTACTGTACATTTGAGGGGAAGTTTGAGGGTGTTTTTGTAATATACCCTATTTTAAAAGCCTCTTTCTTTTTGTTGTTATTCGCTTTCTCTGCTGCTTTGTTCTGAGTGATGTGTCTCTGTTTTTAAAGACCTCTTCACCCAGGTACTTCCCTCTGATTCAACAAAAGTAGGTTTTATACCAAATTATGTAAGAATGAGGTGATAATGACTTCTACCCTATGATTCTTCTTGGAGAGAATAGCGCATAATTAACATAATCATTTTTTTTCCACTTTTCTACGCAAATGTCATCTCGCAGGACATGGGCATTGAGGATCCAGAGATAGTTGAGTTGGTCAATCAGATCGAGGAACTTGAACGAAAATTATTGTCTCATCCATTGCACAAGGTTGGTCAACTTCTGAGTGAAATTTTATCATGTCATCCTTCATTGTTGATGGTATGGCTTTACTGAGTATCAATGCAGTCTCAAGATGCACATCAGATGAGAAGTTTTCAAAGAAAAGCAGAAGTGAATCATGAAATTCAAGAACTCAAATCAAAAATGCGTGAATCTCAGGTACTTATCTACACTGGATTGGGTTGTTTATTTATTTGATCCAGCATGCTTTGTCACTTGGGCCATGGGGTGCTTATATAGTTATATGACTTGCATACTTATGTACTCGTGTCAGTGCACCAGTGCGGACAGTTGTATATTGTGTCTCGCTTCTCTGGCTATCATGCAAGTCAGCTTCTCTTATTTCTCCATTTGCAGCTTCAAAAATTTCGTGATGAACTTAAGAACCGTTCTCGGGTCTTAAAAAAGCTTGGTCACATTGATGCTGATGGTGTTGTCCAGTTAAAGGGACGGGCAGCCTGCTTGATTGACACAGGGGACGAACTACTTGTCACTGAACTGATGTTTAATGGTGATTTTTGAGGCTCAATTATCTCCTTATATCAGCTAAATGAGTTATATTTATCCACTGTGTTGTTTATACTGTTTGGTTGGAAATTGTTTTCAATCTCGGCAAAGAGATAATGAATGAATGAGCTCTGCATGAACTATTGCAGAGGGTTCTATTGGTGTATCCTTAACTGAATTCTGTTGAATTTTCAAAACTCAAGTTGGCTACTTTTGAGAGATTTTAAAAGAAAACAGTTCATACCTTATCTGATTCAGCTGGCTATTAGTACAATAGTGGTAATATTTGTTGGGGTGGGGTCTTGAGCTAATCTTTGGCACGGAGAAGCTGTCTGGCTTGTTCTGTTTTGAATTCTGTTCTTTCCATATGCTATTGCTTGTAATTTTGAAAGTTAGTTTTGAGGTGCTTAAGGTCTCAAATGAGGAAAGTTTCTTGCCTAGGCGGCACAGACCACCATGGACCAAGTGAATATCATCCATCGATCACGGGGGTCGATCACCCGATCCATGGGGACAAGGTCCATGTAAGAATTTCCCTTAAACGGGCAAGACTTTGGGCGGATTTTTTAAAGGGGCTATTATAAGGTTGAGACTAATTTTCTGACTAATGGTCCATGGGTTACATCAAGAATATTGTGTCTGCTTTAGTGGCCGTTGTGTGAAGGTTTCCTTTTCCTTTTCTTTTAGTCACTGAATTGTTGATAAATTTGGATTTCTGGCCAGGTACATTCAATGATCTTGATCATCACCAAATTGCGGCTCTTGCTAGTTGTTTCATCCCTGGAGATAAATCAAATGAACAGATTCATTTGAGGACTGAGCTTGCCAGACCATTGCAACAACTCCAGGACAGTGCAAGGAGAATAGCAGAGGTAGTTTTATTGAGGTTTCTTATTCCATAGACTTTGCAAGTTAGAGGTGTAAAACATTTGGCAATGTCCTTTTAGGTGCAAAGGGAGTGCAAGTTGGATGTAAATGTGGATGAATATGTGGAATCCACAGTCAGACCATACTTAATGGATGTGATCTACTGCTGGTCAAAGGTCAGTTCAGTGGAATTACTGCTACAGAAATCTGTACCATGTCTTACAGTTTGTAATGTGTGCATGATTTGCTTTGCATATTCTGTTACATAGGCTGAATATATGGTTTCATCAGCTTTTCTCGAGGTTCATGTCCAGTGTGAACTTCGAATCTGTTTGTATTATGTTTGAGCAAAATCTAGGAGAAGAGAAGAAATATATGGAATTGTTCCTGCGATGGCAAAGGGCGGACAGAGAATACAATCTGATCTCACAAGCTGGTCATGCCCAGATTATTCATGGTTATCAGTGTTTGCCCAAGTATGGTGTTGATCATGAGTCTAAAGTTAGTCTTGTGTTTCCAATATTTTGGGTATTTGAGAGGCTTGTTTGATATTTATTAGAATCATGGCTTATCTAAGTAGTTCCTGTTTGTTGCTACTTGGAACAGGAGTTATGTCGATATTGATTGATGTGCCTTTCATCTTCCCGATATACCCAGATTCCGTTGACTGTTTTTTACTTTTTGACGCATCATCTGCTTCTGAATTAGACTGTTTGTAATGAGCTATGATTTATGTCCTCTAAAAGCTATCTCCTTCATTACTTGCTGAATGCTGCATTATCATTGCTCTCCTTCTGCATAGTGTGATACATATTGCTTGCCGCATAATTTTAATTAAATGAGTAGCCAGTTTGTTGCTTTATGGAACAAGAGAGGATGCCCATGAAACATAGGACACTTTACCTATGGTTAATGCCTGATAGACATGAAAGTACTTTTTCCTGTTTTCGGATTTCCAGGGAGCAAGCTTTGCAGAAGTTATACAGATGACTGATATATTTGAGGGTAGCATTATTAGAAGTGCCAGAAGGCTTGACGAGTTTTTGAACCAGGTATGACATTTGAACCTTTACGAAATATGCCATGTGAAAATGAGGACTAAATGCTGCAGAGGACTTGTCAAACTAATTTTATCTGGAAAATCAGTGAATATTTGCATCAATTTCCAATCATTTTATAATTCTTTTAGACTGTAGGCATTCAATTCTCTAATTCCTTGAATGAAGGCCTTGTCCTTTTTCCATCCCCCATATCAAAGTTCGAGATGTAGGTGATTAAATGCAACTATTATCGTGTCATAAGCGGAATTGCTTCAATTATGCCTGCACAACTTTAAAATTTGATGGTTCATAATACTTTTTCAGTCTGCATACTGATCTACACATATGACTGGCGGTGTTTGGCTCTCCAGTACTTGTGTTTCTTCTTGGCTTGTGGTTTTACCTGTTCTTTTCTTTCTTTTTTTGCTTTTTTTGTTTTGTTTGGGTGTGGGATGGTTAACTGTGCTACTGATTGCTTGGTTATTCTTTTGTCAAGCTTCGAGCTGCTGCTAATGCGGTGGGAGATACCAATCTCGAAAACAAATTTGCTGCAGCCAGTGAAAGTCTCCGTCGGGGTATAATGTTTGCCAATTCCCTCTACCTCTAAAGCATCTGAAAACCATGCACCAATATAGTTATTAATTATAGAGAGGTCAGCAGATTAGGAATTGACATTGAATTTTTTATTTTCTTCTGAGTTTGTACCTTTAGTTTGTACATTTTATTGAACAGAAATTGTTTTGTAGTGTTGAGGAAAGATCGTAAAACTAATTGTACAGATATTTTTGGATTTTTGTTGGAGAAAAGTAAGGAATATCTGGTGCGTCATCCGGCATAGTGGACTGTGCTACTTTCACGATTGTGTTCTCTAGAGAAGCAGAGACAGATCAGTAAATGATACTGAACTTGGGAGTGTGTTGCCCTTCTCTAAGTCGAGCAAGCACACCTTAATGTACTATTGCTGGGCAGGTGTTCGGCCTTCAGCAGTGATGACTATCGCACATTATCCCGTCTGTTGCAAAGAGGCTCTCTCTCCTGAGAAGTTATTTACTTGCTCTCATGTGAACCAATATCATCTCGACCATCTAGGCCCCCCTAATTAACGGTTGAAATGAGCTTGATTTATACGGTCTACTGATCATATAATATATCTTTTTCCTCTCCCAATCCGTCCTCTTTTTTCATTTCATAGTCGCTGGTTTATGTTTTTTAGTGGGGGGTCCTGATTCTGGTTTACGTTTTAATAGCTAACTAAGAAGGAAAATTGTATCTTCAGATTACAAATGTGCAGTATAACATGTTAGTCGTGGACGAGGTCAATCATAAATTGACAAGTCCCTTGGATTCTACGCGGACTCCTAAAACGGCGCACAATGATCTCTGTCCGTCTATATATACCAAAGGGAAACGGAAGAGGAATCCTACATTAAGGAGAACACGAGACACATTGTTATTATTACGTGCTTAAATTAAACATATCACAAATTCACTCGCTTTATAGTGTCAGCATAGAGACTCGAAAAACCTATATTACAAAGAAGAAAGAAAGGGTTGATTTTAGTTCAAAGTTCCAAAAAAGGTGTTCAAAGTTCCTGCCATTTTGGTTTAATGTGATGAAATCAAATCTTCACTGGAGCGACGGGCTCGAAGACAACAGTAGAATGGTTGGCGATATGCAAACTGAATTGTCCTCCTTTCTCGCTCATGTCGAGCTTGTCCATTCCCGGCGGGACTTTCATCTCGAAGTTGGACACCAACTTTGCGACGACAAGCCCCAATATCGGAAGGGCGAGGATGATGCCTGGACAGCTCCTCCTCCCCACCCCAAATGGCAAGTACCTGAAATCCACCTTCCCGCCCGCCACTGCATCTGTCCCACTTTCCTCTTCCAGGAACCTCTCCGGCCTGAAGTTTTCTGGGTCCTTCCACCATTCAGGGTTGTTGGCCAACCACCACGCATTCACCACCACCTTTGACTCTCTGGGGATGGTGTAGCCGCCTAGCTTGGCTTCTTCCAGGTTCATGTGAGGCACCAATAGAGGTATGGGTGTGTGCAGCCTCAGTGTTTCCTTCACTGTTGCTTGCAGATAGGGTAACTCCTGCAGGTTCGATTCTGTGACCGGTTCCCCTTTCAGGACGGCTGAGATCTCCTCCCTGATTTTGCGTTGGACGGTCGGATGATTGACCAGCTCGGCTATGGCCCATTCCATGGACCACAGAGTTGTTTCTATGGCTGCCACATTTATGTTCTCCACGATGTAGAGCACATTGGCTTCGCTGATTTCGCCATTCATTTGCGCGTCTATGATGTAGTCTATGGCGCAACTTATCTGGTGCTTGTCCCCGTTCGCAGCCATGATTTTCCTGATAATTAAGACCAAAGAACATTAACTTTTAGGTCATTTAAATAATAGACGATCGAATTCACACGAAGTATTTGACACGAAAACTAAGAATTGATGACGAACCTTCTTCTCTCGACATAGTAGTTGTTAAAAAATGCGAGGCGCCTGCGCTGCAAGTCCCTGCACTTGTTCAAGTAACCTGTCAAGAGTGGCCTGAGCAAGGGAATGAAATCCCCGTAATTGTAGTCAAAACTTTGAGCCAAGCGGCTCCTTTCGGAGTTGAACTTAGTGGCTTCAATGAACAACGGGTCCTGTATGGACTCAAACTTGCAGTCGAACATCATTCGATACATGATGTTGTAGAGCATCAACTGCAAACGCCTCCTGATAACCATCCCTTCGCTTCTCACTCGCTCATCTTTGGCCAGGTCGCTGACAACCAGGTCCATTTCTTGTTCCCACATATCACTGTAAGTGTGCACCACCTTGTTGGTAAAGAACGGGAGCGTCATGATGCGACGCATCTTGCGCCAATGCTCGCCGTAGACTGTGAACACCATGTCTTGCCCATTGCCCGTGAAAATGTCGAACACGACATTCCTAGGGCGGGATCCAAATTCGACGCCTTGGGTATGGAGGACGTGCGTGGTCAGCTCGGGGTCGGACACCACAACCAGGTTCTTCACGCCGAGTTTAAGCAGGAAAACAGGGCCGTAAGTCTTGGACATGGAGGCCAGAAGGCGGTGAGTGAGGTCATTGCCCACTTGGAGCCAGTTCCCGAAAATCGGGATGGCCAGGGGGCCCGGGGGCAAGCCGGCGCCACGGTCGAAAATGGCGTAGAGCAAGTAAGTGATGACGGGAAGGGAGACATAAAGGGAGGAGGACGAGAAAGGCGGTTGAATGGACAGAAGGGATGTCAGAAAGTTGGCGAAAGTAACGAGTGCTGATCCAAGGAGAGCTGCATAAATGAGAGGGGTAAAACGAGCCATGTTCACCGAGATAGATGGATAGAGAGAAAGTTTAAAGTTTTGGACTTGGGAGGGAGAGAGGAGGGAAAATTGGGTATATATTGAGATGGTGTCAAATGGTTTTGGACAGGCAATCCATGGGCTATGCTTGCAATCAAGGTAGGAAGCCTCAGGTTTTTCCATAGGTCAAAGGAGGGTTTGGTAGGTTGGTTGGTGGGTGATGCAATTCGTTCCTTCACTTCACCTTCTCCTTTGGACATCCTCAACTTGCAGTTTTTGGTGCCTCCAATCTTCCGTGGATCACGTCAAAGTTTTAATTCAGCTTTTTGCTGGGAAACAAAGGAGGCCTGGCATGAACAAATGAGTGGCCAGCTCAATAGTTGGTTTGACTAGTATGGTGGTTTCTATATATTTATCATCCAAACTGGTTGACGCCGCATCTATCGATTTCGATCCGGGATCCATCGAGCCATGATAATGTAGTGCCAAGCTCGAGCTTGATTCAACTTGCACATTCGATGTCCGAAACTCCACTCAAGCATGATGGACAAGTTCCTCTCTCTCTATGTCTCTCCCAACTTGTATACAAAATCGCCTCGAATTCAACTCGGCTTAATCACAAACAATTTGACTTTGAAAGCTCGAATATTTCTACTTTTATAACTATCAAATATTAAATAAAAAAGATAATATATGCTTGATTAGGCTCACGAGGCTGTCGAATTGAATATAAACGAGCATGAGCTCGACTCAATAAGGTATTCAAGTAGCTTGAACCGAAAGTCGGCTCATCGTAAGGTGAGCCCAAGGTACCCACGAGTAATTTGACTCGGTTTCGACTTCGCTTGAGATTACGTGTCGAATTACCCACTCAAACTCATGAAGGCACGAGGAAAGAATGAAAATATGTGATTTATTCGTCTCGGTTAACCGTTCTAGTTTAGAATGTAGTCATACGTTTATGTAATAATCAATAATAAAAAAAAACACATTTATTTGCTACATTAGTAGGAAAAGCACAGACTTATCTCCCCTTCGAAAAAATGCCACGAGATGTGAAAATTATTTGTCAAAGAGGATTTTTATACTATCTCGTGATTACTTAAATTGGATCAATATAAGATGACGGCGATGATTGATTGGATGAGACAAATTAAGAAAATTTATTAAAAGGAGGCTGAAATTCCAAAATCTTGACTTTTGAAAATCAGCCTAAAGTAGGAGTACTACTAGACTACTAGTAGTAGTCAGAGAGTAAGGGAGAGAGAGAGAGAGAGAGTGAGCCACAGGAAACAGAAACAGAAACAGAAACAGAGATGATGATACAGAGACATTGCAGAGCGATGATGGAGGAATGCAGAGGAGCTTCCCTCGCTTTGGTATAGCTCCCAATTTCTTTCCTTTCGTTTCTGGGTCATCCTCATCTTCTTCCGTGATACCATGAACACTCGCTGCTCTGCTTCCCACTTCGTCATTCAGCTCCAGCACACCTCCCGCTTCCCACCTCCTCCTCCTCCTCCTCCTCCTTCAACTTCTTGGCTCGCTTTTGGCGCTGCGAAACCGATCCCGCCACGCTTCGTCGCTCTCGCAGCTCCGCCTCGCCCCGCTCATCGCTCGCCGTCCTCCGCCCTGTTGCTCCGCTACGCAGGCGACGGCCTCCTACATCGGGCGTGGCCCCTTTGGCTCCGCCTCTTGTCCGACCCTTCTTTCGTCCCCGACCTTCCCCTGCTCTCCCTCCTGATCTCTGCCTGCGGCGACGCCCGCCGCTTCGACCTTGTCCTCCGGATTCTGGACCGCCTCTCTTCGGCGGCGGTTCCGCCTGGCTTGCTCCGGCAGGCTCACTCCGTCGCCATCTCTTGCTTCGCCGACCATGCCCAGCTTCGCTTGATGGAGCACACCTTGAGCCTCATGCTGTCCCGGGGCTTCCCAATTGATTCCGCCACCGGCGATACCTTCCTCCGATATTACAGCAGTTTCGCTTCGTTGGACGACATGGAGAATGCTTATTCCTGGCTCAAGCGCTCTCGGCATCTCCCCAGCCAAGTAGGGATCAGGGCCGTGGCTCTTGCTTACGTTAGGGATCGCAAGCTCTACAGGTTAGGACAGTTCTTGAGGGACGTGGGTCTCGGTCGGAAAGACCTCGGCAATCTTTTGTGGAACCTGTTGTTGCTCTCTTATGCTGCCAATTTTAAGATGAAGAGCTTGCAGAGGGAGTTCTTGAACATGGTTCGTGCCGGGTTCTGTCCCGATGTCACCACCTTTAACATCCGCCTCCTCGCCTTTTCGAGGATGTCCATGTTCTGGGATCTTCATCTCAGCCTCGAGCACATGAAGCGCACCGGCATTGTTCCCGACCTCGTCACTTACGGTTGTGTTGTTGATTCCTACTTGGATAGGAGGCTTGGGAGAAATCTGAGGTTTGTGTTAGACAAGATGAACCTGGACGATGCTCCTGAGGTGTTGACAGACTCATTTGTATTTCAAGCTTTTGGCAAAGGCAATTTCCATTCAACTTCGGAGGCGTTTTTGGAGTTTCGGAGGAACAGAAGTCCTTGGACATACCGGAAAGTCGTCACCACGTATCTCCGAAAACAATACAGGACGGATCGGAACCAGATCTTTTGGAATTACTAACTAGCTGTACAAGAATTCTACCTTTTTCTATCTTTAATCTACTTCTCAAGTTTGCATGACTGAGGAATGCTACATTCTAGTTTCTGATTCAAGTTCCACCACTAGAGCTCATAATTAGTGTTTACAACATGGCGCTGGTAGTGGAAACCTTGTCTTCTTGGGTCTTTGACCATGGCCAAGGTAGGGAAAGATCTGTCAGTAAGATTTTTATCTATTTAGTTGGGCTACTATTAACTGATTATTTGATGTTTGTCGAAGGTAAGATGGGTAATCTATATTTCCCGTATGGGCTTGTGCACCCTTCTCATGATAAAATTTTGACGGATATCGCGGCCCTCACTCCTCAATTCTGCCTCCTCCGACAACTACTAAGATTGATTTCCCAGGAGTTCTAGCTGCCCTTGTGGATTCCTGCAAACTGATCCCCCTCGACTGATGCAAGCCAGTGGGGCTACTTTGCTGGTCTTAATAATTTCGTTGGGGTGCTTCTTCCTGTGATATTGCTTTAGCTAGATATGACTTACTATTCACTGAACGTGTAAGAACGTACTGCACTAGCCTATATCCACAAGAAAAAAGAAAACATTAAAAAAAGAAGATCGTTATTAGTGACTGAGTAGTCATTCCAGGGGAGCAGTCATTGGGGACTAATTCAAAATTGAACCTTTTGCACATATGCAGTGTATGGTGTTCCTCCAGTTGCCTCGATACTATCTTGGAATGCTCTTTGATGGATAATCTAATCATTAATTATGCCAACTTGACAATCATTGTAGTACAGTGGCCTTTTCCTCAATAATTGTCACTACTGCTAATGGCATAGAAATTACAGGAAGAGTACACAAGTATGGAGACTTCAATGCACACTGTGTTATAATCTGTGAGATGTATCTCGCCCCATTTATTTTCCCCTCTAATTGAAGTGCCTGGCATTCTATATTTAAGGCATGCACTCTGATGAGCCATCTGGCGTAGACCCTAACTAAATTGCAAGCAGGGCCTCTCTTAGTCATGAGCTCTATTGATCTTGATATTCCCGTTGAGGCCTGCTTAGCATTTAAGTTAGTTTTGACCAACTTTAAAAATAAACTAGCTTGTTATGAGCAAGCAACTATCGCTAGCTTTTATTGTGAGAAATTGTGTTCTTGCAAGAGCATGGCATTGTTATTCTTCTCTAGCCATTTTTCAAACTAAGCGATTATAAATTTGTTCAAATATCTGCAAGCTAATACCTTTGCCTTCAGATTCTTTCTGAATAATTTAAGTATTTTCAGAAATTTTGTGGGGTTTAATTGTTTGATCATTGATGTTTTATCATGGTGACTCTCAAAGTGGTTTCAGTATTATTTTGCTTTAGAAAAAGTTTGCAGCGCCCTAGAGTCTGAAATTGTTAAATTGCTCGACTCTTTTTGCTGAAGAGAGGACAATGATATCTTCTTTGAAACTGTTTGCACTTGGATTTTGTTGTAGGTTTGCTTGATGTGTGCAAGTAAAACAATGGAAGCTGTGGGAAAAAAGAAAGAACCAGACTCTACTGAAATTATTGACTCCAATACTGGATCTTCAGCAAGTCAATGAAAATCTGCTTCGAAGCAGCATCATTCAGGTGGGACATGCATGGATGAGGTTGCTGTTCCAAGTAGTCATACTTTAAAGAAAGATGAATCAGTGTCGGGGATCTCTCAAATCCTGTTTACAATGGCAAGATGACTAGAAGCTGCCCATTCAAACTTGACCCTTTCCAGCAAGATTCATAGCTTGTTTGGAGCGAAACAAGTCAGTTTTAGTACAAGCACACACTTCAGCTGTTAAAAGCTATGGTTGATGAATATGTCATTGAAATGGCTTTGAGAGATGAATGGAGGGTGATATACTCATCACCTTGAAAGCTTTGAGCAACCAGAAGTATGGGGTGCTAAGTCAAGTTTTTAAAGATGTCTGTTGCACCTAATGCCAGCTGCTTGGTTATGATCTGTATGGGGGACCTGAGGTACTAAAGGAAGTTGCATGGATTATTTTGATGAGTTACATTACACGGAGGATCGGGAAAGAGGTGTTGTCTGGGAGGAGATCATTTTTTTTTGCTACTGGCCATAAAAATGGTTTTCCTTTCTGCAACAATGTCAAATGTCAAATGCTACTGCATTCATAGAATGGAGTTGCAGCTTGCATAAGCAGCCATGCCATGTGGTGTACATATTTTTCTTACCAACTCCTCTGCTCTGCATCGTTATATTCTCCCCATGGGTGGGAGTGGGTTGTACTTTGGAGTTGATGAGCACGAACAATTTTGAGAGAACAAGTTTCTCAATGGTTCAAAATGCTTTTACAAAGCAGAAATTTGGCAAGGGGAGCAAGTTTATATATGGAGGAGAGAGTGGAAGAATTGCCAAAAGTGGCAATGCCTTGGGGTCCTGACACATACAGAATAGTGGAAGTTAAGTGTGCAGACATTTCTATGGTAATTTGCGTAGTCTATTTTCTATCATTCAGCCTGATCTCTCTCTCTCTCTCTCATGCATGCACGCAGGCACGCGCTCGCACACACACCCAAGGTTTTGCCTGCATGCGTATACTATCTTGTAGCCTTCTCAATTCTCATTTGTACCCGGTTCATTTTTCTACCCAATCCACAACTCAGTAAGCCTGTCTCTAAGTTCATCAATGTTGAAAAAGAATAAAATATCCGCACATGCACCTTGGTTTCCACCGTTATTAATCTAGTTGATAAATATACGTCCGTAGATGTATGTGTATTTACTTAGGTTGCAGATCAGTCAACAGAGGATTCATATTTGATGCATCCATAAGAATTAGTAGAGCATTGAATCATCAAACCACGTTATCATGTAACAGCTTAAGCTTTTACATCAATGGGCAGTAGGTTCCACAAGTTTACATGGTACGTGTTCGAACCTCTCCCGGTCCTTAATCATCTCCCAAATATAAATTCCCTTGTTTCTGTTTAGGTCCAAGCCCAACCTATGAGAGTGTTTGAGCATCAAGATTGCAAACCACATTTTTTTGTAACAACTTAAGTTTTATGACGAACTAGTGATGGTTCCACAAAATTTAAAGAATTTCAAGACATTATATTTGGTATCTTGTTCTATGATACTAAATGTGTACTTTGTTGACATTGTCTCTTAAGTATTTGGGCATTTGTTTGCTGAGAGTGTAGGATTTGTAGATATTGGTTGAGGTTATCGAGAGGTTGTTTTGTATAGATGTAAAATTTCTTGATAATTCCTAATCCTGCCCAAGGATTAATACTAATAGGAATATCTGCAATAAGTACTTTGTTGGCGTTGTCTCATAGGTATTTATTTTGGACAAATTTTATTAAGTTCTTTGTTGGCATTGTCTCTTATGTATTATCACTTCTAATAGGAATTATGCAATAAGCAAGCATCTTGTTGCCAATCTCACTTTGTTGTGATGAGCATTTGGAGAACCTCCCGATTGACGACCATAGATGTTAAGTTTGAAATTACTTGTTGTTTTCTACATTGTATGAATGTGTTTGGATAGATAAGCGTTTTCAGCTTTCTAACACTTAGGACTGACAAGACGTATTTTCTAGTCAATACAACTCACCGTAAGAGGCCAGGGAATGTAGTCTGGTATGTTCAGACTGTGAGTACTACAAATTTGGTGCAACTACAACTTTACCGACAAGCCAGCTTCAAATGATTTAGGCGGTCTTCAAATTGACCCCTTGCATTGGTTTCGACATACTCCAAGAAACCTCAGTCTCCTATCATGAAATAAAACAATATCCAGTTCAGATTTGTTTCCTGGATGACATTAAGGAATGTTATTGTAAAACTTTGCTGAGAACATACTTATTCTTCCTGGGAAGGATGATGTACTTGAGCTCTCACATACAGACTGTGGCAGCTGGGTTTCTGTCAGCACATCCTTTGGAAATTTGGGATGATAAAAATGTCCAAGCTTTAGTCATCATTCAATAAAAAATGAATGGAATGGGTACTCGGGAAATTGTGGTTGAACAAAAATTAAAACCTCATGTTGTAAGCGGAATGAATACAATGTACATCTTCTCACCTGACTTGTGCTTGAAATATGACTGCTGCTTGATGACCCTCCTGAACCGCTTGATTGCACAATGCTGGGCATGACATCCTCAGCCAGTGCTCTCAGTCTATTAAGTTCAGGTAAAACTTCGGTACCTAGATCGGGTCTGTCCTTTCTTCTCAATTCTGCGCACTTAAGAGCTAACTTTGCGAATGATAATGCCTGTTCAACTGGCCAATCAGGAATTGCTGGATCAAGCATCTCTGCAAAGTTCCCTTTCTCAATAGCCCGTTCCACAAGATGAGTCAAACCCATTGGGGGCTTTGCCGTTATTATTTGAAGAAGCAAGACCCCAAGTGAGTAAATATCAGATTTTATTCCAAGCATGCCAGTTTGTTGATATTCCGGATCTATGTAACAGAAAGTCCCGGCTGTTGATGTCATGCGATATTGAGTTACTGCATTGGCTACTGATGGAGGGACAAGCCTGGCTAAGCCAACATCACTGATCTTGCTGACGTAGTTACGGTCAAGCAAAATGTTGCCAGGTTTTAGGTCACGATGCACGAGTGGTTCTGGCTTGGTTTGGTGGAGAAAAAGTAGGCCAGTGCCAATCTCTGCGGCTATTCTGAATCTATGTTGCCATGGAAGTACTGGGGTGTTTCCTCGTCGGAAGAGACGGTCATCCAAGCTTCCATTGGCCATATACTCATAAACCAAGCAACCATATTCTGGGCAGGCGCCGAGGAGGAGAACCATGTTTGGATGTCGAATGCAGCTTAGTACTTCAACCTGCATCATCATTAAGGAAGTGAATTAGAAGATTCATGACTTTTGTGGTCATGTACAGTGGAATCCCAGACAGTTTGGAAGTTTTAATGTCTATTTATCCTCTTTATGAGATCATGAATATATGGTTGGATCAGAGACTGATGTGTACAGTTGAATTCCATTTCTTTTTTGCCTTTTCCCTTAAAAATTTCCCCATATAAGGAATAATTCTTGAGTCCTTGCCTTTGAGAAATAGATCATGATATATTACTTGAGAAATAGATCATGATATATTACTTGAAACCAAATCTGGTTTTAGTCCTCTTTTTTTTTTTTTTTGGTCGATGGTTTTAGTCCTCTTTGATGAGCCAGAATTCAAATCAAACTTTTCTCTAGTCTTTTTTTTTTTTTTTGGTCGAGAAACTTTTCTATAGTCTAGACATTTCAGATATATCAGTTAGGTACATAGTCATCCTTATAGACATTATTTTAGGTATGCAGGAGATTGTTTAATTTGCAATTTCATGAAACAAACATTAATTAGTTATGTTTTGTTGAACCTCTGCTGACCGCTTGCATAGTTTTAAAATCCTGATTGCCAACTTGTATAAGGTGCTTTGGCTGTTCTCCCTATATTGCTATGTAGATATCAATTTATGGCAATCAAACTTGACTGAGTTTCTAGCTGCGAGTATGAAAAGCCAAGATGGGGCTGCAAACCTCTTGCTGAAACTGTGCTTGTCCCTGTGCCGCATCTGGACGCAAAACTTTAATGGCCACTGGTGTATGATCTAAGTAACACTTGTAAACTGGCCCATATCCTCCTTCCCCAATCTTACGGGACTCCACGAAATCCTCAGTAGCTGCTTCGATCTCCTCTATTGTATATTTCCTGTACCTAATATCATTCTGTGCCATTGAATTTAGAATCTTCTTTCTCTCCTCGGCTTCTTTGAGAGCTTTCTTTTCAGCATAAATTCTCTTTTGCGCTTCCCGCTCTGCAATTCTCTGAGCTTGTTCAGCTGCTTGAATTGCTGCCATACACTTTGCTTTTTCCTTTTCTGCAAGAGCCAATGCAGCTTCCTCAGCTAGTCGTGCCTCTTCTAACCGTTGTTCCTCTTCCATTTTCCAACGATGAAGCTCCTTAGCCTGATAAAATGCCATTAAAACTTTTTTGCAGGCAAAGCATCATTTTCTCAAATCTAAATACCACATTGTGCTCCTGTCTATATGGGTTATGCGAGCACATGCCACATGCTTATATCTATGCATAAGCTTTATGGATATAGTGGCGTATACATATACAGTAGAGCAAGTATTTTGCTGCTATTTGCATTTTGGAGCTGTGGATGTTGTGTGTCATTGCATTTCTTGTGAGATCAAGTGCTTGTTTGGTGTCTGCTTTCCAGATAACAGACTCTCTGAGATGTGCTTTTCATAGGATATCTTGCACGATTTTGCATAAATGTGTAGGAAGATTTTATATACACCCTGGCCGTGAAAAGGCTAAGGCAGAGTTGTGAGGCTCATCACTCGTATTTGTGTCTACATGCATTGCATCAATGTTGAGCTTCTCGGGTCCAAGAATCTGAGATACGATGTCACTTTAATTAGACAAGGTTTAGCTGGTAGGTTACCTTTTGTTTTGCTGTGAGCGCTTCCTTGCATGCTGTACTATACATGTCAATTGTTTGCTTAAGCTCTAGCCTGAGCCTTTTCATCTCTGCTTCCACATCATCCTACAATTTCAAAAGCATTTGCTATAATTCGCTTTTGTTGTTTGTGATCAGTGATGAACAAAAGAAGTGTAGGACATAAATCAGAAATCTTAGTTCCAATAAGCAGCTTAAGGATCTGAAGATCGTGAATGTCACTCTAATTCATTGTTAGAAGGAAAACCACTATATGATATTCAGCATTAATCCTTGACTTGAACTCTTATTTGAGAGCGTACCTGCTTTCATCACTAACTTTTCAGATGATTCATGACATTGGGGGTGACATGATATAAGCAAGATGCTACCATGTTGACTCCTTTATTGAACTATCATGAATTTCCCAACTCATAAAAAGATGTGGTAGGGGATAGCAAAATCTTCGCTTTGCTTTAGCAGAATATCAAGAATAAAAATTCAATGAAAGCAATTTCCTTTGTAGGCATGAGTAAATAAAGATTGAAGTGGTCTTGATTGAGCAGTGACTTGTGTATGTAATGCAAGGCATAACTGAGTCAATGTTTTCTATGTTTTGAAAATGACTTGTAGGTAAACCGTGTCCCTGGTAGATGAGGTCATAGAGTACCATGCTCTGTGATGATAATGACATTCTTCCGGCCTCCGGCGAAGAGGATGAGAAGTCAAGTGGTTGCAAAGTTATATCGAAAGACTTGTTCCCAGAGAAAGATGAGGCAAAGCCATTGTCGTTGAAGTCCGAACCGGTGGAAGAAAGCCTGCCAGGTTCCATGTTATCGCAGAGGGAAGAAAACATGCAATCGGTGCTTGGTCTCCCACTGCTTACGTAGGATATGTCGCTATCTGGTGAGGACAACTCAAATGATTTATTGGTCAAAGCTCTTCCTCTGGTGAATGGTGACCTGTTTCAGTTCTCAATCAGTTAGTCTTCCCCATTAAAGCACTGATTTTTCTGCCCATAAGAGGGGTAATGGACTCTTGTTCTCACGAGCAATTAGTGTCCCTGTGAATAAAAATTTGTTTCCTTGGACTGTATGTCGTTAAAAAATACGTCCTGATTTTGAAATGCATTGGTGCCTTGAGCATGGATTAGGCCAATGAATTTGTCAGATGGCTAGAAGAGAACGTACTTGATATCAAAATCATTTTGAGGATTCCGAGGTATGACGGGAGTCCTCTCAGCGGCTGCAAATAGAAGAATTAGAAATGGTTTTGGTTAGTAACTGTGGAAGGTAAGATCAGAATTGTGGTTTTATTGTGTTGATGGAAAGGACCTTTTGGTATTTGGTTATGCATGGGACGACCCTTGTTCGGATTGTTGGACATGTTAGCAGGTTGTAATGGCTTGGATGGTGGGGCACTGGAGGCGGACTTCACAGACGATATCTTTCCTTTGGAGATGACATACACAGTACAAAAGTCTGGCACTGCTTTACACACGCTGGTGGGAACATCTGAGGTCTTGAATCTTCAATCAAGTAAGCTTCCAAAGGTTAGATATCTGGCATATGCACCCTCAACGACACATTATAGACACACCCTATGCATTAGTCTTAATTAACATTCACCTATGTAGGTATATGCATGTAAAGTTGAGGTATAAAAATTGATATGTTCTCATTTTAATACGGCCCTAATATTAGAAAACTAAACAAATTGTAGCAAATACAGATGATATATTTCCTGAAATTCACACAGACGAAAATACATTACTCAATCATATTATGAAAACTTAGAAGTGATGATCTTTAAATAGTTTTAAAGACATCAGTATACATTTAACATGGTCTTTTGATTTGAAATGCTATCGTATACACAATAAAAGTATGATAACTTGCAGTCTTGTGCTGGTGAGGAAGAGATAAAATTCATAGGGAAGTCTTGTATTGAGAGAAACCTGAAGAGGCCACTTTTAGAGGGAGCTCCAAGCACCAAAATGTCGAGGGGAGTTGCATTGGCGAAGTCCACTATGCCCTTAGCAATGTCTGTGTCCTCCGCAATGATTTCGTTGCATTGTATCTAATGTCACCATACTATTGCTTTAGCTCGCAAAAAGCTCAAACCACAAATGCAAGCGCTACGGTCCAGGAGTTTCCGACTTACTTCCTTTCGAGTACAAAAGCAACGGAAGGGGAGGAACATTTCCTTGGCATGGTTCTCGCCCTGCTGCCTGTGCGTTCTCGCCACTTCGTCATTCACATCGGAGATGGCGACATGGCTACCCACTGCATGTGCGTTCCATCATATTCGTACCAAAGGAAAAGCAGGAGATCAAAAAAGAGAGAGATGAATTGGGGGCACTACTTGGATTGGGGATGGAGGAAGCTCTGGTTTTGATGTGGAGGAGAGTCAAAGCTTGGCCGCGGGAGAGGAGGTGATCGATCGTCCATTTGAGGGCGTACTGGCTCGCCTTGTCCTTGTCTATGGCCACTGCTATAGTCTCCTCTCTCTTTCGTTCTCCCATGTTGCTGTTCCTTCTCGCCATATCCCAAGAACCTACAAATTCTCCTCTGCAAATGCTTCTCTGTTGCACATTATATCTCCAGAGCCTCCCTCTTCACACTGCCCTTATCTACTCCCCCAAGCAATCAATGTTACAATGGAGAACATTAGCAAGAGAACATGTCGAGGGTATTGACGAATGAAGGAAGAATCAAGGCAACAGAACATCGAGCCAGCTAATAAACATATGAGCAACTAACTTAACTGTTGTGGCTGTGTTTTGCTGCAACCGATACGTCCAAAATAGGGTTGGTGGTTTGTTTAGTGGGCCACCACCCTCTAATTTTAGACTGCGCGTCAAAGCCTGTTACGATGCAGTCCCCTCGCTCAACATTCGCCGTGGATGACACCCATTTGACTGCCTTCGACCCTTCTGGAATCACAAAGACAGAAGTCCATGCACGCACGTGGGCTCGCATCTTGTCCAGATACTTTTACTGATTGACTTGGCATAGGCCATGCCATCAAGCAGATGCAGTGGAAATCACATTTTGGATAAAAGTTGTACTGTTCTATGTTCATTCCTCTCCCAACATCAAGCTCTCTATCAATTCATTGAAGCACCTCCCCCCTTTAATCCTCACTTGGTTGACCCTTTTGCTTTTCCTGGTCACAAATTTTGTGAGACTCTACGCATAGTTCATAACAGGGATAATTACAAAAAAAAAAATCATAAAACCTATTGTATGGATATCAATTAAGTCCTAAAATTTTTCAATTTTGCCGGTTTTTTTGTCAAAAATTATGCTGATTGAGTTGTAAATCTTTTGACGATTTGCTAGTGAACTCCTTTTGGCCAATTTTGGCCAGAAATTGATGGCGTGGATGCCGGTGTGCCACCGGCCATTCTACATGGCATAGCCGGCCTCCTACGTGAACAACTTTTACAATTTTTAACAAGAAAAGAAAAAATTAAAATAAAAGAAAATTACAAAATTATAAAAAAAAATTATGTAATTTTAAAAAAAAAATTTTAAAATTATAAAAATTGTCCACGTCAGCGCCAGCTGCCACATAGAATGGCGACGTCTACGTCATGAATTTCCAATCAAAATTGGCTTGCAAGACTACATTGGCAAATTGTCAAAATGTTAAAACTAAATGGGCATCTGTATAATACGATTATGACTTTTTTGGATAATTTTTCTATCCATAACATGGTATATATCGGTTGCCATGCCAATTCGTAAGGTTTTCACAATAAAATGAGTACATGTATCACAACCCTATCCGTACAACTTCCATAAGTAACTCTAAATGTTAATAATTTGATGTTTCAACTTAACCGCTTTCTTTGTCACATTGTAGCGTTAATATATTTAAGATCGATTTTTCTATATCAAGTTAATCTACCTTTGCGGTCTGGTAGAAGGCAATCCATTCGCATTTTTGAAACTCGGGATTCGCATTTTCCTTATCGTATTAAATAGCGGTTAATGCTTATGAAAGGAAAAAAACCAAAGCACTCGTAGTCCCCTACATGATCGAGGGCACAGGCTAGCAGCGCAAGGAGCAAGTTCCCACCTTGTTATTCTAGGCGCGGGAAGCTACTATACCTGCTTACCCGGCAATAGCTAGTCGGAGCTGACGTGGAGTATACCTTCTCCACTCAAGGTCCTCCAAGTTCCCTCCCATTCTTTGTCTTTCGGGGGAGAAGGAATACGGGGAAAACTTATAGAGAGATCCATCCGCCATAGCAGAGAGTTCATTCCCTTTGTCTTTCTTTGAACTTTTTAAGGTCCTGCTCAGGTCCAAAAGATGTTTCACTTAATCATATAATAAAAATTTCAAAAAGAATAATGAAAATAAAGTCGCTTCGCACAGTGAGATGTAACTGAGTGTACCCTCTGTTATATAGCATTGTGTGAAGCACAGGAAAGCAAGGAGCAAGCTCTCATCTTGTCACCTTAGGCGCGGGAGACTGTTATACCTACTTACGCGACGGTAGCCAGTCGGAGCTGACGTGAAATCTACCTTCTTCACTCAAGGTCTCCCAAGTTCTCTCTCATTTTTTATCTTTTCGAGAGAGAAGTAAGAGGGAGATAACTTATATGGAGTTCCCTTTATCATATTAGGGAATTCAAAAGTGACAAAAACAAAAATCCCAAAAAGAATAATGAAGAGAAAGTGGCCTCGCCACACTCCTATATAAGATGCAAACGGTAACCCAGCAGGCCCCTTTTACCATCTCGCTCCACTCCACCACCGGGAAAACAAGAACATCCGCTCTCGAATCCATCTGAGCCCTAATCTCGGCATTCCTTTCGGCCCTGATATCCCTCTCCTCTCCATCAAAGTTCGTTCTTTTTGCTCTCCCGTTTGGCCTTGATCAGTGTTGATTTGGGCGGTGTCTGTGCCGTGAACTTTGTCTGACGAACTCTTGTTTTCACGTAACGCAGCAGGATGCTGGAGTTTCGCGCTGGTAAGATGATTCTCGAGGGGAAGACGGTTGTCCCCGATGCTCGCAAAGGCCTCGTTCGCATAACCAGGGTATGTGTGTGCACGTATAGACAAAGACTCTCTGCTGTGTACCGCCTTTTTTTCTTTCTTCCACCAGATCGTTCGCTTGTTGTTGTTGTTGTTCAAGTTGGCTTTTTTTTTTCTTTTTTTCTTTTTCATGATCTTTTCTTGGGTTTTGTATCAGGGTGAGGAGGGGCTGATGCACTTTCAGTGGCTTGATCGCGCTCAGAACGTCCTCGAAGACGTATCCTGTCCTGTTTTTTGATTTATCATGTGGTGAACTATACCTAAATCGGTGTTCTCATGCACCGCCGTGCAGAAATCGTTTAGCGGGTCTGTAGGAACTTGGTATGTCCTGTGTCTGATCCAGTTTTGATTATGTTCCCCTTGTCTGATGGTTGCATTCGAATCGCCTGGAATGCCCATATGGCCCCCCACATATATCTTCATGCAGCTGCATCGTTTAGCTTGTGTGTTCGTGACCCGTTTAGCTCCATTTGTCATGGCAATTCTAATCTCAATGTGCTTGTCTAGTTCTCCGTTTGTGGCTTTCGTCGATTTTCAGAAGGTACCTGCCTAAGTTATTGATTCATACTTACGTGCATGCTGTTCACATGATTGCACAGAACCCGCACGCTGGGCAATGTTGGAGTTGGTTACTTATGATCTTTCCACTTCCTAAAGCATATTAATAGTGACGAATCCATTGCCTGCTGGCCTCGAACACCGAGATCATCTCAGAAACTAGTAGGCAGAGGTGTTTTTACTCACCTCTTGATCTTTTGGACAAACATGTCGGCGGTGCGTTGTTTGCTCCGCAGTATTCATTTTAGTGCCAAGGGAATTTTCTCTCCTGATCTGGGATGGGTAGAGAAATATTAAGGTGAGGAGAGACTTTTAAATGTTGATGGCTGCTGACTGCAGTAAGGAGTGTGGAATAGCATTACTTTGGCCATTTTGTCATGAAAAATACACATCATGAAGAAACGTTTTATGCAGATTTGGTTCATTCTTCTTGAGCAAGTGTATCATTCTTTCGGTATATCCAGATCCCAGATCTTGTTGGAAGTGCCAATATCATGTTGTTGTTGCCAGAGTGAATGCTCTATCTGCATCACTGCTGGAAAGATTAGAAAGAATTCCTGGTCATTAATAATAAATTTGAAGTGCTTATTATGCAAAACCGTTTCATTGTAACGGTTTGCGTAAGCAATGTTTCTCTACCATGTAAGGAAGGACCGAGGAAGTGAAAATTTGAAGTTAGCAAAGACTATTACTACAGTTGGCAGTTTTTATTGCTAATGGTAATGTTTGGCAGCGTCATGTTATTGAGTTTAGCGATTTATTGAGTCAAGGAAAAGGGACGTAAATGGAAAAGTGAACTGAAGAATTAAATCGTTTATTGTATAGTGAGACAGTCCTGTCTGTGAAAAAATCATCTCATTTATGACTTTATTGAATTGGTTAGATTTTCATAATGCTGTTTCCACAGTATCGACAAATTTCAGAGGCTATTGGCAGTACTCTGAAGTTTTGGGGAGGGGTTCAGTAAAACCAGCAGAACAGGCATAATGCACTAGACAGTTGAGGAGAATAACAAAGAGTCAGCTCTTAGTGCGTCTTGGGTGAAATATCTGTGAATGGTAATTTCAGTTTGCACATGCTTTTGGCTGTGAGGATATTGTCTATGGAAATTTATCTGGAATGAGAGTTTTAAAGGTTACACCCATGTTCTGTGTGACTTTATGCCTATAACAACCAAACCAGGAAATCGTGTCATTAAGTGATAATTAGCTCATAGTTTCAGGTGTGCTGATTCCTTTTCATTCATTTTTTTCCTTGGTTTGTCTTCATCACTTTAGTTTTCAGTATTGTCATTACATGGTTGCTACTCGTCCATGGTCTGTCTATTCTTTTTTTGAAGTTTCTTGACAAAGTATCTCTTAGGATCAGATTGTCTTTCCAGAGGAAGCAGTGTTTGAGAAGGTATTATAGTTCTCTTAACCTTTTTCAAGTATTTTGTCCTCCCCGTCCTCCTCCGCCTCCCTCCTCCCCACTTTCCCCCTCTTTTTAAAATTTGTGATTTGGTTGAAGGCTGCACCTCTGTGCAATGGTTAAGGTCGCTCCCACTATTTAAAAGAGGCAGCTTCTTTAGAATGCGGCAGTTTGTATGGGTGCAGTTGACCTTCCCCAGACATTGCAATGCAGGATTCTTGTGTGTGGAGGCGTGCTTTTCTCATATCATTTGTAATATAGAATGTTTGATGATTTTGTTATACAGTAATCTTATTCTCTTTCTGGCATGACATCTTAGGTAAATCAAGCTTCGGGGAGGGTTTACATCTTGAAGTTCAATAGTGATGACAGGAAGTTCTTCTTTTGGATGCAGGTTCCTTAATCTCATTTTTTTCCTTCTCAAATAATCCGATCATGAAAATTCACGACGTCTTTAGATTATCATGGGTTGTTTTTGCTTTCAGGAGCCTAATGCTGAAGGTGATGCACAATTATGTAACTCTGTCAACTTTTTCATCAACCAACCAATTGGTATGTGCTTTGCTAGTCCAGATTTTCTATACTAGTATCTATCTAGCTTTATTTTACAGTTATTGCTAGCATCAAGGACAATATATATGTGGGTACATTTGGACCTCTCTAAATGTGGTCGGATGGGCAAGCCCTTGGTCTTATATTAACAGTTCTCGACTTTCTGATTGTAAACCTTCCACAATTTCATCTCAGTGAAACAATTGTCTCAGCCCATGGATGACAACATCCATAATATAGTGCTACGCATATTAGAATTGACATTTTGTAACTTAAAAATATGTGAGTTGGTGCATTGTCAGACTGTGTGTAATTAGGTGTTATTGCAGTTGGAGATAGAAAGAAAAGGAACAAGGGTTTGGTCTAATGGTGGCCATATCTAAGGGTCGGTCTTATTTGGAGTGACTTCTATCTATGCTTTAACTTTTTTTATTCTTTCAGATTTTGCTGCTCTCACACTCTGAATTTATTTGACGTGATAGAGCTTGGATTTTCAATGTATGCACATATTTTAATGTGTGAAAATGGGATTGTTATTTCTTGAAAATTTTCAAATAATCTATTAGAAAGGAAGAAAAAAGATATAATTCTTGAGCATTGCATGGGTCTCTATGCTAGTTTTTAAGAGACAGTAAAAAGTAGGGAAAAACTTTTTTTTAAGTTCAGGCAAACAGACCCAAATTTGGTAGGAGGGATTAGGAGGGAAGAGGAAGGATTCTGAAAAGACAATCTTGTTTGGACGGAAGGAGAAAGAGGGAAGTAGAAGGATTGAAAGGATTAGGAGGGATAATGAAAGTTTATGAGGGAACTGTAAAGCAATTTGATATAGTTCAAATGTTCATCTTTGTTAAAGACTGTTATTACTTATATCTTTTAATTAATGCGCCTTGCTTCACTCAGGCGAGCACTTCTTTTGCACTTCCGGCCTGAGGCGTTTTGTGCCTGGCACCTGAACTGCACCTTTTGCCTTTCACTACACTGGGGATTGGTCTTTATCTGGATATTGAATTGTTCATTTCCCTTGAAATAGAGATTTCTCTGCATTTCGAAATGAAATTTAATGGGCCGGTTGAGTTGGCAATACTTATTAATGTAAGGCCATGGTTAACTGTGGGCTTCACGGCTCTTAGTTAGTTACTCTTTATAGGTTAATTTGTCCTTAATTTCATATCCCAGAGTATGATTCAGAATAGGTATCTATATTTAGTGATTAATCACATAGTTCTGGTGACCACTGTAAGTAATGGGGTACATCTATGATCAATTGATGGAACTGGACAGTGGCTGTAACCATGGTCAGAGAAGTCCTTCGCATTTTATCTCGTTTCTGTACGCTGTAGCCTTGGTTTTCATTCAAACCAACATCCCCTTCTCCTCCTTCCTCTCTTCTTTCCATCTTTAATTGTTTTTAGGTTCTAAATGTGTGTAGCCAGCTATAAAATGGTATGAATATGTTCTGAATCCTTGATATACTTATTATAGACATCATCTTATAGCCGCTATCCTAAGAGCATTGTCAAAGTCATGTGGTTGCATTTTAGATGTTAAAATCATGCCATATAGTCGGGCCCTTGGTTTGCTTAATGTCGCATTTCTCTCCACCTAACTCCTTATCTTAGACATGTTCGGGTAACTATGTTCTCATGCAAAGTGTATATGTGCAAAGTATATATGTAGTATTTACATCCTGCGGTTGGAGTAATTTCGGCATGCAATCCCTAACTGCTTGGATTTGTTTGCTTTTTATGCAAGTACTACACATTTCTCAAATTGTTAGACCATTTGATCAATTTTTTTCAGAAGAAATCAATTTGTCCGATTCGTATAGAATGCTCAGTGATTATTAAGAAAGTAAATTAACTGCCTTTATTGTATAATAGAGCTCCCTGCTGAAGATGAGCTCGAGGTATCTGTTCCTCTTCAAGACTCGGACGATATGGTTGAAGATGACATCTCATCAAGGTAAGCTGTCCGTGCTTTGTATCTTCCTGCTATACTAAAAGGAGTTCGGTAAGGCTGATCAAGCTTCTCTTGTTGGATTTTTGTTTCTGATTGGTTTATGTGGCTTACATTTATCTGATACAGAGCTGGAAACTTGGTCAGTCCCGGTTTAGCTGCTGAAGCAATTAGTGATGTTAGCTCCTCTGCTGGACCAGTAAAATTGGAAGACTTAAGAAGAATTCTCAGTAGCATCGAACCTGGAGGTATAGGATCTGTCCTTAAACAAGTTTTACTGTTGTTTTTGTTCTCCGTATTCTTTTTGTTGCTATGAGCTCTTACATACATTCATAATCTGCAGATAATGATGCTGGAGATGCAGATGGAGGTGACTGTTTTTCCTTTTTATGACTTGTCAGTGAAAGTACTTCTTTGTGCCAACAGCTCTAATGGTCCTTGAGAGTAGAAAGTCAGCTATAGTTTTTGATATGTTAGTTTTTGTTTTCGGCCATTGTATCCAGCATTTCAGAAGTTTACGCTAATATTTAATGTTTTTAAATTGTGTTAGCTGTGTTTCTTTGTGGAAAGAGAGTGAACAATAAGCTAATCTTTGCAAAAGTTAATCCTATATTTTTCTTAAGTCAAGCCTCTTCTTTTTTGATATTGTATCAAAAAGTTAAGGTGGAGGAAAGCAGTCTGGCGACTTAACTTATGGTTCTTATCCACTTTGTCTTGTAACTAGTGGATCAGTCAATGAGTTCTGCCCTTTGACAGCTTTATGTTGTTTGCTCTGCCAGACTGTCTATGTCTGTACCTTGTCCAGAATTTTGAGTGTGTTCATTTGTGCAACAGCATACAAAGGCCTGACACAAATCTTTATATCGTCTTGTCTTGATAATTTAAAACCTTTGATATTTCTTGCTTTATCATGATAGGGTTCGGGCTTGGGGACATTTTGAAGCCAGACTTGATCATGCCATTGATAAGCACATTGCCTGTGGAACAGCGCTTAGCTTCATACTTACCTGAGGTACTCGTGATCCTTACATTTTGTGTCCTTACTCTCTTATTCTGTTTAGACACTTCTTGAACTGTCATGAGTTTGCAGGGGCAGTGGTCTGCTGAGGAAATTTTGGAGCTGCTTCAGAGTCCTCCTTTTCGCCAACAAGTGGATTCCTTTTCTCATGTGAGAATTTGGATTATTTTTTCCTCAGTTCAGATGCTTTCCCAGAGATTATCCAAATGTAGTTGATTCTTGGTTTCTTGATTACAGGTGCTTCGTACGGGACAGATAGATCTGGCTCAGTTTGGGATTGACTCAACCAAATGTAAGTACTCCTGCAGTGAAACATTTGGTCTAACTCCATGTTGAAGTTAACACAAAGTGCTGGTTGTTTCATTTCACGTTTTCAGCGCAACTCATCTAGAATTTGTTTGGGTTCTTCGAGTTTTGAGGGATATATGACGGTAGAATAGTTAGGCAAAATGTTTTTGCCGTGTTAAGAGGAAGTGAATTTTCTACTTATGGACGCCAATATCTGCGTGAAAACTACATTACGAAACTGTTAAAGAGTGCCTTAATGAGGCAATTTGTAAAGCCTTCTTAAATGTGCTTTGACTTTTTATAAAATCTGTAATTCTTCCATTTTCAAAGTGTTTTGGAAAATGTTATTTCCACTTTTAGTTGACTGGTGCCGTGCTGGCACTTGTTAACATGACTCATTACAGTATAAGAGACGGTCATATCAAGTTTTGAAAGCCATATCCTCCTCTACTTTTACGTGCATGATTAGATATGGGTCATTCTGATACTCCAGGTCTGATCTATATGTATTGGAGCAGTTTCGTTCTTTCTATTTATTTGTCTGTTGATCAGACTTTTGAAGGAGTGCTAAGGCAAAAACTTTTGCCCATATGAAGGACACGTGAATTTGTTACTAATGGATTTGCATGAAATTTAGTAGTGACTTGATTTGATATCTGCCTCGCCTTTCAGTTGTACAGGCACTAGATAATGTGTCCTCTCTTCTTGCAGACAAGTATACCGTTCTTTCTTTTCTCGAGGCTCTCGAAGATTCTGTGTCTGAATCAAGTGACTCGGATGAAGCAAGGTGTGATGACGAGAACTTAAAATCCCATTCTTGTAATCATAACGATCCCATGGATGAAGCCCAATAGTGCTGTACCTTCTTCATGCATTCCTTCTTGATTTACTTGTCTGCTCCATTTTAATGGGTGGATAGAACTCCCATATTTAGCTAGAAAGAAATAGCCGAATCATTCCGATTAAAATTTCATGCATTGACTGATGTAGAAAAGATAGCATTGAAGTTACTGTGTTGGTTCGGGGTACCTTATACTTTTTTTTTTTTGGTCGGAACCTTATACTATTTCAATAAAGGAAATTTTGAGGGACACCTTGTTTTACTCCAATGAGTACCATTTGAAGTTACGACAAGCACGAAAGTGCTGTCTTTTTCCTCTAGTGTTTTTTATTTTCTTGTGATGCATATTGAAAGTACAAATTGAATGTGTATATACGAGATTGGCCCAAGTTTTGGGAACTACATTCTGATTACCCTTAAATCTCGGCACAGTGTATTAGTGAAGTAGGGGTTCTCGGTTTCAGGGTGAGTCGATTGCCAATTGAAACTTGGAACCTGCTCGAAAATGGTTGGTTCTGAATAGGGAATTAAACCAGGACATTTGGAACTAAATCGGCTGCTTCCGGGTAGATCCAGTGGTTGGGTAGCAAGTCTTTCTCTCATTTTTAAGATAATATTGAATTTCGTTTTGGCATAATTGGAGCATTAGCTCCCCTTAGCAAAATGGTTGAAGCTCTTCAAGGCTCTTTGAGCCATCCAGGGTTGAATCTCCTTTTGCTGAAAATTCTAGCTATTTCTTTAGTGATAGGGTTAATATTCCCAAACTAGTACCCAAATTATACATTTACTTCTAATTGATTTTTATCTCACAAAAAAATTACAAATTGAAACTTTTGTCCCAAGTACTGCTTCGATTAGCTTTCCGTACAATCTTTCGTAAGAGGCCTACGTGTTAGCACTCGTTATGAGCTTAAGAAGATCGGCGGTCTAGAGGTTGACCTCGGCTTTCACTGGTTTTTGGGGTTCTCACCCATGCGCCTATGCGGTTCACATGAGAATTGGCCTTGAACCGATCGGTACAAGCAGGTTCGTGGATCGAAGTGGGACCGATGCTTGCTCTTATCGTGAAACCTACCAACTGCGGGATGTCATTATGTGTTCCCATTTAAGATTCTACATAGTTATCTATGATTTGATATATGTATTGCTTAATGATTATGAAATATACTAACAAGCAAAAGATGGTACCCTCGTGTGATATTCAATGAGTTCGCGGACATTCACCTAGTCGTATGTTCTATTATCCTTTCTTGTTATGAAAACCGGGGAGAGAGAAATTAATCGAAGGTAATATTTTGATAGCAATTATAATTGTTTAGAATAGGAAATAGAAACTTATTTCATCGAGTTGGTAACTTTGCAATGGCATGAGTATGTGCTATACGGAAGCAACATTTGTGAAATTCCAAAGAAGTTGGTTCGTATTGTACTCGATCATAGGGAATTATGCCTTTGCCACTAATGAGATTATTGGTCATTAGCTGAGAATGTCAATAAATCTAACACGAGGGGGAAACTTAGTCGAACTGTGGACTCTCACAAATCAACGGCAATTCGGGTAATTTTTAATATGAGAGTGTTAAACTTTTTTTTCAAAATATTGATAAACTAACAAAACAAATGGTAAACATGTACAAGATAAGACACACACACACATACAGAGAGGAGAGGTCGATGGATAAAGCTAGGGGTGAGCAACAAGAACTGATCGAACCGGCCGGTACAGTTTGGTTATTGGGAGTGCCGATCTGATTCCCGGTCCTTAAAAGTGGATCCAGTATTCGAGCAATCCAATTCCCGATTCCAACGGGGGAACTGAACTGTCCAGACTGATTTTATTTATTTATTTATTTATTATTATTTTTTTGAAATGTCTCACGCAGGCCTCCTCTCCTCTTTCGGCCTTTCCCTTTCACCCCACAATGCCCATGCCTCCGGTCTTTCCCTCTTCGCCGACATTGAAGGAAACACTTTGTTTCTTTCCGCAAAGAGTTTACCTCATCATCGCAGCTGTGAATCTTTCTTTTGATTAGTATCAAGTACATCCAAATTCGATTGTCCGTGTGAATTGCAGTTTCTAAGAGATTTGCTGTGTAGCTTTTAATTTTCAAATATCGCTGTTAAAGATTGGTAGACTCATCATGTTTTCCCAGGGATATATCCGCAATATAATCGAGACGGGTTGCTTTGTTCGTTTCTTTGGCCGTTTGATTGGTTTCTCTCCAAGGAAAAAGGTGAACACGTTGTATTAGTTTAATCTGATTTCGGCGTTTTTTTAGTCTTTTCCTGTACTTACTACTCAAGCAATTCGATTCTCTCTTTTTCCTCGAAAGGCGATGGATGTGTAGAGAGCGACTCGAAGTCGACCGGTTCTGAGATAGGACCGGACCGGACCGGGAACCGATCAATCATAGATAAAAAAGAAAAAGCTCGAGGGAGAGAGCAAACAGGAGCAAGAGGGGAGCGGGAGCCCAAAAGGCCCAGGGGCAAGGTCCGGCCCACAAAAGAAGATGCTCCGCTCCGCTCCGCTCCCGTCGTTCAAATCGCCAAGGGGGGGGGGGGGGGGGAGAGCGCGAAGTTTGAAGCAAAAATCAAATCCCTTTAAACAAAAAAAAAGAAAGAAAAAAAGAAAAGGCAAAGAGAGAAAGGAAGCTGTCTCGAAGTACGCATTTGAGATTCGGCCTCCCCCTTCCCCTCTTTCGCAACTTCTCTCTCGTGAAATTTTTGAATGTGATGATTGAAATGCTCTTCTTCCTTTTCGACTCGACTCCATTCCCACTCCCTCTTCCTCTTCCTCTTCCTCCTCGGCTCGCTCGCCGTTGAACTGGTGCTGTTTCATATGACAATGTCGGTATGTGATCGTCAGTCTCGATTCTTCTTCCTCTTTCTCTTTTTCTTTTTCTTCTTCCCGCATGCATATACAAACCACTCACTTCTTGAGAAATCGGCTCCATTCCCCGTTTTGGATCCATTTCTTGGTGCTCTTTCTCTGCCCTTTTTCCTTTCTTTTGGGGGTTTGGGGGGGTTTCTCTTGTCCCGGTCTCCCAATTTGCATGGAAAAGAAAAGCTCCTTATAAGTTCGATTGCGTTTCCATAGGGCTTCCCCTTTGGTGATGTAAGTTTGTCTGTTCCTGAGTTGTTTGTATACCCCATCCGATAGACAAGCAATAATTGCCGTTGGAGATGCCCTCCTCATAATAATTTGCATCGTCTGGATTGTTATCATTATCATTATTATTAGGATGAGCTTCCCCTTGACTTTGCTGGAGTTGGTTTACTTGAAAGCTCGCACTTCTCCCGATATGGTCAGCGGACAGCTTTGAGATATAGCGGTTAGTTCGTTATTCTTCAACTGACTCCTTTCCAGTTTCTTTTTGCATGATAGGATCGATATGGTGTCTTCACAGCAATCGTTAGCGGTACCATTAAGTGCGCCGAGTCCCTGTCGGAATGCTGTGCAAATCGCTCCTAGCCAATCGACCGTGTAAGTAAGGCGTGATTCTAACTTCTGCAGAGTAGTTGCTTACTCTCAGTTGCTTGTTAGGATGAAGAACCAGGCGTCGACAAGAGGGAGAGGGTCTGGTAGGGCGACTGCTCAACAGATTATCTTTGAGCTGAAGCAGAAGGTGGTTCTTGCCCTGAACAAGCTCGCGGATAGAGATACGCAGCAAATTGGAGTCGATGAGTTGGAAAAGGCAGCTGAGTGCTTGAATTCGGACACTATAGCCCCATTCCTGTCTTGCATACTGGACACTGATTCTGAACAGAAATGTGCCGTTAGAAGGGAATGTATTCGGTTGATGGGGACGTTGGTAAAATCCCATGAGGGTCTCATTGGGCCGTATCTTGTTAAGATGGTCTCTAGCATTGTTAAACGGCTCAAGGACCCAGATTCGGGCGTGAGGGATGCTTGTGTGCAGACGATGGGCGTTTTGGCTTCATCATTAACTAACCACCCAGGCGAGAGAGGTCAGATTTTTGTCACATTGGTGCGGCCGCTTTTTGAATCCTTGGGCGAACAGAATAAGCAGGTGCAGTCGGGTTCGGCATTGTGTTTAGCAAGGATCATTGACAGTACCAGTGACCCTCCGGTATCAATTCTACAGCGCATCTTGACTCGAACAACAAAGTTACTCAAGAACCCACATTTCATGGCCAAAGCGGCAGTCATTGAGCTAAATAGAAGTATCATTCAGGTAATTTTTACTTATTATTTTGACAAGGTGAAACTTGCCACGTTTTCTTAATGGTATGATTTTGAGGTTTTCCGGGATCTCGCATCATGCAGTTAATTGTGTTAGACAAAAGATTCAATCACCATAAAGGTTACAATTGCACACGCCTTCTGACCCCCCAAAAAAAAGGGTGTGCATTAGTGTGTGTTCGTGTGGCTCTATTTGCTTTTGAATGTCATATGGCTAGCTATGAAGAGGAAAGCCTGTCAGTTTGGGACGTTCTTGGAGTAAATTGCCTTAGTCAGGTCTTAGTACATGATATTTGAATTTTCTGTGCTTCTTTCTTGTATTCTGCTGTTTTTTGGGGATTGTTCTTTTGACATATGCTATTCTTTCTCATTAGCACATCGATATTTACAGAAGGGGGAAAGACCAGCATTTCCTTCATCCTACACTCCTACACTGCACAACTTGTGGACGAATTGTTTGTTTCTGAGTGCAACTGACAGAGGGAGATGATACCTGTGCATTTCCGTGTGACCTAGAGTTGGCTTAAATAACATTCTATAGATAGGTTAAATCTACTTTTTGTTTACGCATTTTTATTGTATGCAAAGGAAGTCTCTTGAGAGAAGCTATCTCTCTTCCAGGCAGGTGGTGCTGCAACAGTGAATGGTTTGTCTGCTGCACTAACTAGTATTCAAGAAGCATTAAAAAGCGGTGATTGGGCTACTCGTAAAGCTGCTTCCTTAGCATTAGCAGAAATAGCTTCGAGTGGTGGAGGTTTCTTGGGAACTTTTAAGGTGTCCTGTGTACGGTCCCTCGAAGCATGTCGTTTTGATAAGGTTTTTCATTTAGATAACTCTTCTTCTGTTCCTTTAACAAGTATATCCTGATCATATCTGAGTAGTTATTATTTTAATTAGGTTAAGCCAGTAAGGGACACAGTTTTGCAAGCATTACATTGCTGGAGGAATGTTCCTGGTCAGGATCATCCTGAGCCATCAGAGTGTGGATCTTCTGTCAAAGGTTCAGACTATTCTTCTTTCGCTTTTCGGTACTAATAATTTTGTGGATAGATGTTGGCTATATACTCATGTGATTAAATATCCATAGGTTTGCTCTACCTCTAGAAACGAGAAAGTATGAACTGATGTGAACTGTGTTGTCAGACTTTGCACTGTTCTGCTTATGTTTCTTATTCAACTAATGTTGTTTCTTTGTTAAGGCGTATGCGGGTACATATGTAACTCAAAAGAAATGAATTGATTGTTCTTTTACAAATTATCTGCAAGAGATTGCACCATCATTCTAGGACATGCATATAGCCTCGATGATAGTGGATTTCGAGGTTCAATTGTTTCTTTGTCCTTACTAATCAAGTTTTGATTTGTCTTCTTAGTTGGTTTCACTTAGGTTCACAAGTAGCCTGGGTTTTATGTCATGCCATGGAGATAATGTACACTAGATAGATGTGTATCCCCTTTTGTCTCCCAATTTTTTCTTAAGCTGCCCTGAAAGGTAAGGTAGCCACACGCTTTACTATTTACTTATGTTTGGACAACCATACCTGGTCAGCATTGTCGTATTGAACTTCTTCTGTTTTCCTGCACTTTCAATTTTGGAAAATGCACGAGCAAGACCATGCCGATGCCTATCACTTCAAGTTACATTTTTGCCGAACTTCATTTTTGACTAGCCTTAACATTTTTCTGTGTCAATATTCAAGAAGGGAGAGTGAGAGGATAACTAAAGATGCTGAAGTTAAACATGCACAGTTATATCCTGCGTCCTTTCAACTGCTTCCTATGTCTCTGCATCAAAGGCACCAGAAATTGGGATTTTTTCATAAGATTTTTTAATTTTGACGTTTTCTTTCCAAAAGTCCATTTATCTTTTGCCACTTGTTCTTGCTTTGCATCTCTTTGAACATAATTCTTTTGGCCTTCTAATGCAAACTCAAGACAAGAGAATGGTTTGCTTGGACTCGATACAAAAGAATGACAACCGTGTTATGTGGAGGTCCAAGATTGCAATGAAGATCATAGAAATTTTAACAGATATTTTATCTATACGGAATGTTTTTATATTTAATGTAGCAGTTTCTTGTAAGATAATATTGAGAGTTACTTCGGCTTTCAACTTTTTGTTTTAAGCGAGTGGATCTTTTATGTCTAGTTACGTGCATGACAGTCTGAATGGTTTTCCTGAAAGCCACGGATAGTATTACATACAATGTACCTATCAATTCGAGATGCTGGTCCTTGCTGTACAAATGGAGTTACCATGCATTTTAGGTTGGTTGGAACGTTCAAATGTTTTTCATGGAGGGTTTGGATGTCTTAGCTTGGGCTTACATGTTTACCTATATAAAAAGTTCTGTTGGCTGTAGACACAAGCAGGATAACATCTCATAGCTTTTACTTTTGACATCTGTTAATTTGAAAACTTAACCTTTGGTCATGTGAGGAGAAACAACTTTTAAGTAGTGTTCTATCTAAGATGTTTTCATATTCCCTTTTTGTGTTCACTTCTTTCATTGGTCTAATCATGCATTTACTTCAGAAAACAATTATGGCGGCGACTTCAGTGATTTGACTAGTGCAAGTGAATCCGGGCGGGCGGCCATATCAAAAAATGTGGGTCGAGATTCAGTGAAGAAGAGGATCGGGTTGAGTGCTAGAAAAGCATGTCAAAATTTCATAGAGAAGCAAGAACATCCAAAACCAGAGGACTGGAATGTAGAAATTGCGGTTCCTAGAAACACAAAGATGTCTGTCGAACATTGTGAGGAACAAGAACCTGATGGTAGTTTTGTTACTAATGGAGCAGAGAGAATGAGTGCTGACATCACAAGCATGCAAGATGATGTTTATGATTATGGTATGGTAGATGACCAACAAGAGTGCTCTTCTGTTTCCAATCTTGGTGCTGGTAGTTTCAAGACCAAGCTCATGACTGTTTCTAAAGGCTGTATTGATGAGAGTTCTCATGATTTCCGTGGAACCAGTCACCGGCGTGTCACTGAAGAAGTTAGCAGCGAAGGACCCATGTATCCATATACACTGCAGGATCGCAGAAGTCTTGATTCTACTGTGACAGAATCCAGCTATCCAGCCATGTTTGGATGTTGTCAGAAAGCAGCAAATGAAATGATTTCCATTCGCCAACAGCTTTCAGCGATAGAGAAAAAACAGTCAAATTTGTTGGACCTGTTGCAGGTAACAATATCAATAATATTTTGAGGTTTTAACAACTATAATGTGTGTCTACCATGGTGTGTGTACATGCAGTGAACATCATCTATATATCATAGGCTAACCACCAGTTTAACTTATTTTCTCCTCTTTTAGATAAGAAACCATGCTCCGAATAACTGATTATCCTGATTTACTTGCCATGATGTGCCACCTTGCTAGTTAGCCACTTAGTCTAAAATTGTCACGCTTTGTCATAACCTATTTAGAAGTTCAATTTTCTTCTTGAATATTGCTTTTTCGTTGGTTGAATGCACTGATTATCATTGGTGTCAGCATGCTTGTGCATGTATTGAAGCCCAAAAGAAGTAAAAGACCTCCTATATTCTTGCTCATGTGAAAATAAAATTCAGGTGTTCACCACCAGCACGAGTGAAAGCTTGTCTCTCATAAAGTCAAAAGTGATTGCTTTAGAGCTTGCTGTCGGTAGAATTTCCCAGGACTTTATTCATGACGATGGATATGCTTTTATGGGAGGCTCCAAATGTTTGAGAAAAGATGAAAGTATTGATTCCCCAAGACTCTCTATATGTACCCCCCGGCCATCAGTGGATATGCAGCAAAGACAACCTTCAATTATGTCTCGGAAGAAGAGCGAATTTGGTGATAACAACCCACTTGATAGGAACCGGAGCGAATCAGCAAATTTAAAGCAAGATGCGGATATGTGGATGGCTTCCAGTACGAGGTTGTCCAGGAGTCATTTGGGTAAGGATTGTCATAAATTCTCAGAGCAGGGAGCACAAAGCATTGTTAATGTTCGGAGAAAAGGAGATACAGGTGCAAATGCTAGACAAATTGGTCCCACTAAGAATAGTGTGTGTAAGCATATCAGGGATTTTCTCCGTGTAGGTGACCTCGAATCTGCATATGCTGAAGCTCTAATATTAGGTGATGAGCATGTTCTGAATGAGCTTGTCAACGCAACTGGTCCTGTTCTGGATAGTTTATCGCAGAAAACTGCTAGTGACCTTCTTTGTACTCTGGCTTCATTCTTCATGGAGCAAAGGTCTTTGGGTTACATGGTTCCATGGTTGCAGCAGGTAAGTCACTTTAGTTTTATAGAATGAAGCTGTCTTGTAAGGAAGTTGCTAGATGGCGGTGCGTTGTTGATTCATCCTGATGTATCGTAGAAAAAGAGGTGCTCAATTGATGCACTTATCATGGGCCTTGCCTATGAGTTTTGCCTTTTAAATATTAAGATTTTTTTTGGTAAATCAAATCTGGGAAGTCAATGTTAGTACCCTTAAGCTCTTTCTATTTCCCTTTCCTTTACATGATTTTTCTGAATGAATTATGCCCTCCTTAAATGTTCATTCCATAGATCTTGTCAGTTTCTCATATTAAGTTTTGTCCACCTTAGAAATAATAATTTCTCGGTTGATATGTGAACTACATAAACTCTGTTTTGTTTTCTTACTTCAGGTAGTGGACTTGAGCACCATCCATGGGCCCAATTACTTCATTCTCTCTATGAAAGCAAAGGAAGAAGTCATGTCTGCTACTCATGAAGTTGTTAAAATGGAGTTTTCTAGTAGTGCAGAAAGAAGATCCGCTAATCAAATGGCTGTGAAATTGCACCACTTATTGGGTATTGTGCTCAACTTTATTGGCTTTGAAACATGCACTTATTCTGTTGAAGTTGTTTTGTTGTGTGCAAGATTCTAGTTAGCACTTATCCAATTGGAGACCCTTTTATGTTACTTTTTCAAATGGCAAAACATCTTTCAAGGCTGAAGGATAATTTCATGTAGCCCAATAGTCAAATACATGGAAAAGACAGCTAAAAACTATATTGAGCAATACATGGTACTTGAGAAATACATGGGGGCACGGTCCAAAGAAAGAGAGAAGTGCAATGGGTGGTAATGTAGAAAGTGGATGAGTACTGTAGGGTAACCATTACTGCTCAAGTACCATGGTAATCTCCACTGACATAAAGAATTGAGTTTTTTATGATCATGGACAGGCTTAATAAACGACTTACAGTGTTTTATTTAATCTAAGGCTGTGGTGTGGCTCTAGTGATACATTCAATTCATTATTGGCAGAAGCTTTTTTTTTTTATAGTAAACCAATTAGCATTAGCATGTAAGACTGATAGATTTAACTCTACGCGCATGGAAAGCACAAAACAATTTTTCAGTGCTTAGTCCCATTTACAACACTTGATGTCTTGCTAGTGTTGAGTGGAGTGCCGTTTATATTCGACATTCTGTTGTCTACGTAGTTCTCTGCAGCTGAATACCACCCTCACCCTCCCTCGGTTATCTTTTAATGCCAAATCGCTGCAGAAGTCCAAGTAACACCCTCCCCTATCCTTTTTTTCTTTTTTGAAAAAGAATCAAAGCTATCTCGTGCCGAAGGCTTTTGATCTCTTTTTTTTCTAAGCGATATAACGGATCATCTTCCATGTCAGCCCATAGGCAAGCACATTGATTGCTCTTCAGTCGACAATTTCTTTTTTTACATTATCTTATACTACTTACAGCTTTAAATCTATACATCTAAAGAAGGCCGACGTATGTAACAGGTAAGAATCAGAGCTTACTCTTGGAATCCTACCCAGATTAGCTTCTGAAGTGGGGTTTCTTACATAAAACATTTCTGTTTTGAAGCAATCTGATGTGAATGAAATTGTAATTTTGGCACATTCTCTTAGCCTACTCATATTTAAACAATGTCAGTATGGTGAGTGTTGTGTGTATGCCAACAAAGAGAAATAAAACTACTGTACTTGCTTCAACCAGGGGGTACGGTTTTGTTATATTTGCTATGGAATACTGGTATTGCTCAATGAATTGTTATGAAATACTGTATTATGCGTGTTCTGCAGTATAAGAATTAATCATATACTTCTCTAAACTCGAGAAAATGGAACTGTCTATTTCTTTTAAAGCCAAAAAACATCATAGTTCTAATAGATATTTCAAGGCTGTATTGCCTCTATTAAATTATTCCACATTGCTTGTCTATGTGGTTTATGATGTCCCTCCATTTATAATTTAAGCTTTTAAATTAGACGTTCTAACATGTCATTAGAGTCTAAGTTTTGCCCCAATTTTATTTTGCATGTCCCCTAGGTCGTCAATTCCACTTGGTGTTCTTAGTACGCTTTTCCATGTGAGATTGGGTGTTGAAATATCTCACATTACTTGTCTACAAGGTTTATATGGGCCTTGTAAACATTATGTTTAAGGTATCTCACATCACTTGTTTAACACATCTCACCTAATAAATTAGAAATTGGATTGGACATTTTCGTAACCTGCAATAATTTCAAGTGATAAATATTTCCAGGGACAAAATAACTTGCCATTGTAGTTTATTTACATCCTTAATTGCTTCATGTCAGTTTCACTTTAAGTGTACCCCATGGCTAGTGGTAATTGTTTTACTTGTTAAAAATAAGTGCATTGGAAAGTCCTAAAACTTGTCACGAAAGTACAATTGAGTCTTAAAACTTTCAATAAGTGTAATCAAGTCTCAAAACTTGTCACAAAAGTGCAATTAAATTTTGAAACTTATCAAGTTGGTGCAATCAAGTCCTAAAACTTGTCAAGTTGGTGCAATTAAGTCCTGAAACTCGTTAACATTTTCCGTTTGTTAAGTTGGACGGAGTTATTGGAATGACTTGATTGCTCCAACTTGAAAAGTTTTAGGACTTGATTGCACTTTTTGAAATATTTAGGACTCAATTGCACTTTTATGACAAGTTTTAGGACTTGATTGCACTTTTTGAAAGTTTTAGGACTCAATTATACTTTCATGACAAGTTTTGGGACTTTCAATACACTTATCCCTACTTTTTTAAGTTGTGCATTTGTTTTCTTAGACTAGTGAACCCTGACTTATTATCAGGTGGATGAGTACATAAAGCAGAGAAAGGAGGTCAAATATTGAATTTGCTGCGTGATACTTGGAGTAGTGGAGTTTTCAAAATTTGGGCTTTGAACCTTTTCTATGGAATCAACAAAGCTAGAAACTGGAAGAAAAGTTCTAACTTACATATCTTGGCTATAGCAGTTAGAATCTTCGTGTGCCATTATTCCCCAGTGGCAACTGGCAAATAATGTAAAAGTTATTCATCTTGGAGAGATTTGGCAACAATTCAGGTTCTTAGGTACATCTGATGTTGCATTGACCATTATGTCATGATGCAACTACCATGGGCTGGGTGGTTTCTGTATACTTGGCATTTTGTTTTTATCCAGAAAAGGGGTTTGGATGCATCGATCCTCTTTCCATCTATCATTTTTCTTATGATTTTTCCTTAATTAAATTCCTTCTCCTAGTTAGTGTTTGCAATGATCTGGTCATTTCACAAGAACTTTGTATATAAGTTCGTTGAGTTTTATGGGCTTAAATATTATTTTGAAGAGTCACTTGACTGGTTGTGTAACTTATTAACGGTTCTTTTCTTTCTCCAGGAAAAGGCAGCTGATTATTTAGGTGGAAGAAAAAGTTAAGCTGCCAATCCGTCCTGGTACTCACTTGAGGCCGTTATAGCATAGAGATTCACATGTCCAAGTCAACGGCATGTATCGTGCGCATTACAGCTATTTTGAATCACCTATCAAAAAGTGATTTTAATTCATGCTGCTTGTTTGCTTCAAATTGATTACGGGCCTTTTTGAAACTAGCAATTGTATCTGATTTCCAGTTTTGTCAAGTTTATTTCAAGGAATGTTCAATCATCCTAATGCGCGCCAGCAATCCCCGCAAAGTGAAAAATGTGAATAGCAATTTAGCATTAGACTTTTGATTTGAATCGGTTGAAAAGCTGATGCTCCCTAACAGGAAACGAAACTGCACAGATGGATCTTATTTTAGAATGTAATTCATGTTTCCTTATTCTGTATTTTAGAAGGAAATGAGCCAATAAAGTTATAGCTTCGAGAGGTATGTCTAGGATAGCAGATTGCAAGAATGAGGGATCTATTTTCTCTCATGTTTAAATTGGGCAATAGGAAATTAAGCAATGTAACAATCAAGCATCGTCAACTCTCTTTGTTGTCTTATTCACTTTCAAGTGTCTACATTGACAGATAACTAATGTTACAAGTGGCGAATTTATCATCTTCAAGGCTGTAATGACATGCTTTCATTTAGTGCTAGAAGCATGCATGTAAGTTACCTCAAATCTCCCTATAATTTGATTTACGTTAGTTCATTGACTAAGGAACGAACTGTTCGATCACCTTTTCTTCGTCTCGTTGTGTTTTTCGGGATCGAGGGTGGGCGGATGATTGGTGGGGGACATGAATCAAATGGCTGTACTATCTTGACAAGGAAATAATGGCTGTTTGCTGTTAATAAGCGCATTCTCGATGTGTATCGAATGCATTGTCGTCTTTGGTCATCCACCACCGAACATTCTTCGACGTTTATTTCCTAAGTCGAGTGCATGTGAGTACTTTTCAATGTGAAGCTTGTCGGTTTGGTAAACATCATAGGACTTCTTTTCCTTCTCGTTTTCGAGTCGTGTGTCTAGTCCATTTGAGTTAGTTCACTCGGATGTTTGGGGTCCGTGTCGTGTTTCGATACTTACGGTTTTAGATACTTTGTTACATTCGTGGATGATTTTCTCTCGAATGACATGGTTGTTCTTAATAAAAGATCGTCTGAGATTTTTCATTGCTTTCGCCTATTTTACTTTGAAGTATTGAATCGGTATAATGCATCCGTTCAAACTTTGCGATCGAGATAATGCTAAAGAATATCTTGCCTCCTCTCGGTTTTCGATCTTTTCTTGAATCTCATGGTATTCTTCATCAAACATCGTGTTCGTACACCCCACGAAAAATGGTGTAGCCGAACGCAAAAATCGTCATCTTCTTGATGTTGGTCGTTGTCTTATGTTTCATATGCATCTTCCTAAACTTTTTGGGGCCATCTTTGTCCTTACACATGTTACTTGATTAATCGACTTCCAACCTCTGTTCTTCAGGGCGGACACCATTTTCTGTTTTACATCCCAACCTTCCTCCCTTTGCTTTACCTTTACGTGTCTTCGGTTGCATTTGCTTTGTTCATCGTCTTTCTCCGGGTCTTGATAAATTAGATTCTCGTGCGAGAAATGTGTCTTTGTAGGGTATTCTCGAACTCAAAAGGGCTATAAATGCTATAGTCCTACTCGTAAATCGTCTGTTTGTGTCGGTGATGTGACTTTCTTTGAGGATCAAGCCTATTATGAAACTCAATCGATCCTCCGGTGACTACGAGGGTGGCGAGTGTGTCCTCCCAGCACTTCCTCCCCTCTCTGTACCTCCAGCACCATCAACTGGATTTCAATTTGCCGAGCGCACATATCATAGACGTGCTACAGCTCCTCCCACGGTAGTTGGTCGTCCCGTAGATCGCTATGCTCACTTTTCGACCTTTCTTCTTGTCTTCGTACTCATCATCCCATATCCAATTTTTTATCATATGCTCGTTTGTCTCCTACCTTTTCTACCTTTGTCTCGTCCTTGTCCACTATTTACGTACTTGATAATGTTCTTGAAGCTCTTGCTCATCCCGGATGGCGACAAGCCATGGAAGATGAAATGAAGGCTCTTCTTGAGAATCGTACTTGGCGCTCACATCATTACCTCTAGGCAAACAACCCGTTGGTTGTCGTTGGGTTTTCACTTGTTAAGGTTCATCCCGATGGTTCTCTCGATCGATTGAAAGCTCGGTTAGTTGCCAAAGGATATACTCGGACATATGGTATTGATTATGATGATACTTTCTCACTGTCGCCAAAATTCCATCTTCGTGTTCTTATTTCCCTAGCCGCACACTTTGGTTGGCATCTTCATCAATTGGATGTCAAAAATGCCTTCTTACATGGTGATTTGGCTGAAGAAGTCTATATGGAGCAACCACACGGGTTTGTTGCTCGGGGGAGAATCGGTATGTCGTTTACGTAAGGCCTTATATGGACTCAAACAGTCTCCTCGTGCTTGGTTTGGTAAATTCAACGATGCGATTATCAAGTTTGGGTTAAAACAATGTCAAGTAGATCATTCGGTGTTTAGTTCTGTTTCCTCAATGGTTTGTGTTCTTACGGTGGTATATGTGGATGATATTATTATCACCGGTAGTGATTCTGTTGGTATTCAACGGCTTAAGCGGTTTGCATACGAATTTAATACTAAAGATACGGGACGTCTACGATATTTTCTTGGAATTGAAGTTGCCTACTCACGGGCAGGCATCAATTTATCACAACGAAAATATGTGATTGATATTCTTAATGAGGTTGGATTTCTTGGAGCAAAACCGGTTGATACACCTATGGAGCCTAATGTGAAACTTGATGCGAGAAAATGGAGAAGCTGTTACATGATCCAGTAAATATCGAAGATTCGTGGGTAAGTTGAATTACCTTCTTTTACAAGGCCGATATATCCTTTCTTTGTGAGTGTAGTGAGTCGGTTTATGAGTTCCCCTCGTACTACTCATTTGGAATCTTTGTCTTGCGAATTGTTAAGTACTTGAAAGGAACACAGGTAAAGGACTACTTTTCAAGAATTATGGTCATCCGAAAACTACGGGATTCTCCCGGCCAGTGGGGTGGATGTCCCTGCGATAGGAGATCTACATCGGGGTATTGCGTATTTCTTGGAGGTAATTTAGTTTCTGGAAAAGTAAGAAACAACATGTGGTTTCCCTACGGTCAGTCTTTGACAGAATATAGAGCTATGGCACATGTGGCGGAGTGAATTGATCTGGTTGAGGATGTTATTATCAGAAATTGGTGTGTCAACATCGGATCCATCAACATTATATTGTGATAATCAATCAGCCATCCATATTGCGAACAATCCTGTCTTCCATGAGCGAACCAAACATATTGAGGTTGATTGTCACTTTATACGAGAGAAGGTCCAGAAGGGAAATCATTCTTCAACATGCAAGGACAGAGGATCAACTGGCAGATATTTTTACAAAATCCTTACGAGGAATAGAGTGGATTTTTATGTAACAAGTTGGGACTACTTGATATCTACGTCCCAACTTGAGGGGAGTGTTAGAATTATGATAATAAGGGTAGAATTGTAATATTGTGTTTAGAGGGGTTTACGTTATGTTAAGTATATATATATTGTAATCCCTCATTAAAACATAATGAGAAATATCTTTATCGTCTCAAACAAGTTCATTATCATTCCTCATTGGGACGTGTCCAGCATCCTTCCCATGCGGCCAACAGGAAGAATTTAGCGTAAGCTTCCTGTTTGGTAGATCAATCTTGTGAGAATTCCAGACTGAGGAGAAAGCCCACGGTAAAAATTACTTCAAATAGTTTATTGCATTAAGCTGGTACCTAAGAATGATGAGAATTAGTTAAATCATCAGTACAATCATCGTAGCAGGAGCTTTGCTGTTTTAGCGGACAACCGTGCATGAGCAACTAATGCAACTGCAGCAGTCTAAATCTGAAAGTAAAAGCAAAACCTACCATCATATATTTGAGGACAAGATGAACAAATGGCAAGCAATGACCCCAAGCGACATCTGCACCTGATACTCATATACGTTGGACCTCCAAATTCTATGGCAATCGAGAATCAAATAAGCATTCCAAAACTCCAACGGGACAAGAAAGTTGATAGATTACAATATTTCAACTTCCATCCACACGAGGCAAAACTTCAACTTCTGCTAGAAGCTGATTTCGCATAACACTCCAAATCCGGAGAATGATTATAAAGGTCAAACTCATTAGGAGGTTGACTCTTGGTCTCTCGAAGGGCTGGTCGTCTACTCTCCACCTCCTTCCTTTCACTTTCTGATCTCAGGGTTCTATGCTTCTCAGTCTCCTTTGAAACGTCAAAAAGAGTAACACTCCCACCTCCACTCATCATTTGTTCCTGGCATTCTTCCTTTGACTGAAAACTTTCTAGTACTTCAACAACATGGTTCATTAATGGTCTTCCCTTTGGATTTTGGCTAAGGCATTGATATGCCAAATTGGCCACCTTCATAGCAGTTTTAACTGAGTACTGTCCTTCCACTCTGGGGTCCAAGATCCTAAGAAGCTTCTTATTATTATTCAGCAGAGGTCGGGCCCACTCTACCAGGTTATGCTCTCGACTAGGTTTTGACTTGTCCATTGCTCTCCTTCCAATAAGCATTTCAAGTAGAACCACCCCAAACCCGTAAACATCACTTCGAGCGGTTAAATGACCTGGCCAAACACAAAGAATAATCCATTAAATGAGACCCAAGCCATACATAAAAGATACTTGACAGGCCGTACCAATGTCAATTCAAGCAATTCTGCTTCAACACTCCAGGATGTGAACAAGTTTCTTTAGCAAATATTTACCCTTTTAGCACCCTCGTATTCAACACAGAATAACGCCAAAGAGATGAGTATCACAATTGGTTTACAAAGTGATATTTGCGTCCCAACTTCAATTTACCACTTTGGTTTCTATATAAATTTTTTATGGTAATCCAACTACTTTGCTCATTTAATAAGACGAGCCTCATACTTGATCTTGATTATCATTGCATGTCGATGCAGTCCACAAGATTGAACATATTGATGTTTGTGCTTAAGTTTTCATATTCATCATATTTTGGTGAGAATGGACGTTGCATCGATCCACAACAAAAAAAAAGAGTCCTAAAACGATGAGGATTCTCCTTCAAGTTCAATTAGTACATTTATAATCCGAGCACCATTAGAACTTTATTAAGTTTCCTTCTTTTGTTAGAAGGTACAAGTTTCCTGCTTAGTAATTTCCTATTTCGGTAAATTACCCTTTTAGAGGCTTTCAACTATGCCTATGTAAGATTTAGCTAACACTGGCGGTCCCAAGCCCAGATAAAGCAAGAGAGGTGTGCCTCAGGAACTTGACAGCCGACTCTCCTTTGTCTACTGTCTTTAAAGTTTTTTATGCGAATCAAAAACATCCAAAGCAAGCATAGCAAAATTAATGAGATTTTTTAGCAACTAAATGGGCCACCCACTGAAACAAATTTTAATCAAGTCCCTTCCCAATATTAAAATAGTGAAGGCGTGAATGATCTTCAAGTGTCAGGCCAATCCACGATTGAAGATGAAAAAGTTGAATCACAAGAAATGGTTGATTGCATGTTGAAGATCGAGAATGCTAATAAATCAAGCATGGAAGTGAAGATGGACATTGCATGGGTCCACAATCCAGATAGTAGTCCTATCTTACACCCGTTCTTTTCGCTTTGTTAAGATTTTGTGTTCCTCTTTAGAGGTTTCCCATCGTAAAAGTATATCCACATTTGCTTTTCTATGGGGTTTAAATGGGGCCCTCTATTCATGTAGTCTCCCTCCATTTATCGGCTTAAACTTTTGAATTGGACATTCTAAGATAGATCAGAGCCAGGTTCCATCCCAGATTTATTTGACACGTAAGGCTCCCCATTCATCAATTCCATCTGCTGCTCTCTGTCCAATTTGCTTGTGACAGAAGGCGTTAAAGTATATTACGCATCGCTTGTCTAAGTGGATTAAATGGGCCTTATATTCATGCATCTCACTCCACTTATCGACTTAAGGTTTTGGGTTGAACATTGTAACACCCACTTTAGTTATGATTCTAGTTAGATATGTCCTATTTCAATCATGATTAGTATTTTTAAAAGACCCTATTAAAAAATTTGGCAATTATTTCTTTTCAATAAAGTTGATGGGTTATAAATTTGGCTAGAAATGTGTGACATAATTCCTTTTAAGTGTGATGCCTAGAAAACCCTGGTTGTGATGCTTAGGAACCATTCGCTATGATGCCTAAAGAAAGCTGCTTCTTAAGTCATTTTTCATTGGGATTCTATTCAAGTTCTAAAATCTAACGACTCGGGCTAACCATGTCAGGACTCGCCGTTCTACATCAATGTCATTGTAGAGAAAGAAAGACCAAACAACCATACTTGGAGCCAAGCAAGCAGCCACATCATACATTCCATAAGCTACATCTGATGCAGAGAAAACGAACAATCAGGCTGTCTAAAGTTAAAGCTGAGAAAGAGTGCTGTGGGACTCTCTAGTATTGAGGCGGTAAGCTTATGGTTCAAACCTTGAGGACCATCTAAAAGCTTGGGCACTATAGAGGCTGAAGAATATTATTTCCTGTATATTTCCAGTTATTTCGGCATTCTATTTACCCTTTTTGTGGGGGCACAAACAGTTCTAGTAGATAAAAGCAGACAATCTTGCTTTAACTACAATGGCCGCATATGCTCCTATACCACCTGATTAATTAATGATGAGTTAGTACCATTGAACACGTACCAGTCATTACGTACTCTGGCGCAGCATAGCCATATGTGCCCATTACACGTGTTGAGACATGTGTTTGGTCGCCCACAGGTCCATCCTTTGCAAGCCCAAAGTCTGAAAGCTTTGCATTAAAATCCTACAATAATAACCATGGATTGTCAAGGGTAAATTTGAGAACAGGAAGTCACCCATGAGAATTGTAAGTATATACATCTGTTCCCAAGTTATGCATGAGAATATGCTACCATGAATTGATGATGTCAGTAAGAAATAGCTCCTATTTCATATAGGTGCTAGTAATCTCTTCCAGTCTCTAAACATGACCAATAAGATCAAGCCTTTATCCGCAATAGATCTATATCTGTTGTTTTATAGTGCAGATCATCCACAATATGACTGCAAAAAGCTGTGGGAAGCTTATCAAAGACTTACTGCATCCAGCAAGATATTTGATGTCTTGAAATCGCGGTATATAATTGATCTTTCTGCACCATGGAGAAAAGCAAGCCCTTTTGCAGCATCTAAAGCTATCTTCATGCGTTTTGACCATGTCAGAGAGCAACCAACTCCTAGCATCCAAACACTGGTCATACTTAGAAGGTGTTTTCAACAATTTCATCATTGTATAGTCTACTAAAGCAGGAGGCATCAGCTCATGAAAAATTTTTCTATGCACTAATCATCCATTGAAGCACTTCCTGACCTTGAAATACTCATTAGGAGCTTGGTACATGCAGCAATATATAAACAACGAAGAGAAAAGTCTTACAAAGTTTCTTTTTACGATACTCACTGAGTCACTACTTGGTTCTCTGAGAAATTTATTTGAGACTTGCGACAACATTACCATCAAATCACCATTATTCAAGAAAAAGACATACTTAAAATGCGCCATTCTCTATGTGCCACATCACTAATAATCTAGATATTGTACGCTATAAAGTGAGGACATACAATGTGATGTCACGGCAGAAAAGGAAAGGACATATAATAGGTAGTGAAAAGTGCAATTATCAAGAGACAAGTCATTCTACAAAAGGTAGTCTGAACTCCATAGCGTGAATGTGCACTACAAAAGGAGGAGCACTCTTGGATGGATGATATAAACACGAGGGGAGTTTCTATAGCATAGCGCAGTATAGTTTTGACATCTCCTGTCAATATCTCGATATATTTTAGTCTTCATTAATTTGTGAGTAGTAACAAAGCCAGGTTAAAAACGATTACGAGAGTGCACTCAAGAACCAAAAGGAAGGAAAAACTGACGGACTGCTCGTATATATATTGTGTTATTCACTTTCAGATGACTAACTGGCTGTGCATGCATCTTTAAAGGAAATCCTATCCTCCTTGTTTATCAGCAACTATAATAACTTCTCATTTACATGAATTGATCAGCTACAACAAGCGCCAGAGTAAAACCACTGATAAAACAAATGCAATGAGGAGCAACAATTTCAGATCTCAGGATTACATAAAGTTGTAGACTGAAGTTAACTTAAACCTTTTCTTTTGCAAGATCAGCCACATATCATGTCAGATCATTGCGCTGTTGACTCAAAACAAGATCTGGAATGGACTATTTTGCAATAGACACAATACCATCTAACACCTACGAAGTGTCAAATTTAGTTTAAGCTCCAAACATCTTTATTCATTGCTTATCTCTAAATTCTTGCAAAGAGAAAGTTCTAGTCTGTCGATAAGAATCCGCCGGTGGCATGACCACATATCAGAAGCAACATTATTTTCTAGCATTTTCTAGCACACAAACTTCACATGAGAATTATAAAACATGTATCCGCCACTACAAGTACTCCTCGTTAAACCATCCATAGCATTTATAGCCACACCTCGTTGTAACTATTTGATTCAAGCCAACTAAACAGGGCCGAGCATTATCCAAACATGAGCTTGATGTGAACAACCATCAAGGGGCAAGCACAAGCATTTCAGGTCATGCTATTTCACTTGATAGAATTTAAACTATTCGTCATTTCTTTGTTAACTAATTTATAACTTTCAGTTAAAACCTTTAAGTTGCATAAGCTCGCACTATACGAACAACTTACTTCGAAAAAGATGTTTCTCAAGACTCCCCCCAGCCATGTATTCATAGACTAAAAGCCTATGCTCATCTTCGCAGCAGTATCCAATAAGCTTCACAAGATTTGGGTGACGAAGCTGCCCCAAGTAGTTGACTTCAGCCTGCAAAACCAAGATCTATATAGCAAACTAATACCATAGATATCATCACTACAGCTACAATGCCCATGACGGGGAGTTACAAAGCACAAGTTCTCTGCCAATGGAAAAGGCTTGGCCGGTGTAAGTTTTAGTATTTTCAAAGGTCAATATCCATTATATACAAAAGGGGGTCCCTTCTCCAAGCACCTCTTTCCCTGATAAAAATGCATACAGACAGGATAATAATTGGAGATTCTGAAGTACTTAAAAGCATATAGGAAAGTCTGAGACTAAACTCATGTAGAATAAAAAGTTGTAGAACTAATTCCATATGCTTAAGTTGATGAGCAATTCACTAAACTGGTTATTAGTTTATCTAAGGCTTGAAGCATTCTTGTGGGTTCCATTCTGAATGCTCTTCTCACCGAGGGCAACTAATGCAATGAGATTTTACGTTTGGCAAGGTCTAAATCTTACACTTCTGATATGTAGGTAAGAGAATCTTGTGAAACTGTTCCCCTTTACATCCAGCGGATCTCCCAAAGTTTTAACAAGAACAAAAGTAGATATTAAAGAAAATTCAAGATAAGATGCGCATACCAGCCATTCTCTGTCGCCTTGAAAACCCTCCCGATTTAGCTCCTTAATGGCAACTTGAACAGTTTGGTAACCTGGCCTGACACTCTCGTCTATGCTTCCTTTATAGACAATTCCAAACCCACCTTCGCCGAGAATCAAGTCCGGCCGAAATTGCTTCGTCGCCAGCCTCGTTTCCTCGTATGTAAAGATATCAACATTGGAGTACCCCGGGCTTCGGCGCAGGTCTTTAACATTCTTGGATGCCAATGGCATACCGGGGATGCTTTTCACGCTGCTAACCTCCACTTTATTCGACTTAGTCGGAGATGTCGAGAAATCATGCCCTGCATCGACTGATTTTTTGTTTGTTTGTTTGTTTCAGAAGAGAAACGGGTGATTAGCAATTGCTTAATCAAAGGGATTCTTACTAAATTCGAAACTCAAGGCACCATTATTGTTATCCCCCACATTTAATATCTTCTCAGCGCAAAATCAAGACTTCCCAGTCATCCACCACATTACAGCCGATCGCATTTACTCCGACACGGACAACCGCAGACATGGATCCAATCCAATCCAAGGCAAGCATTCGCATTTTTGGCTCGCCAGCAATGAACGGCGAACAAACCAAAACAACGAAACGAGCAGACAGGTAGGTACCTGGGATCCCTTCCATGTACCGCCGACCCTGAACGTGCTCGTCGGAACTGAAACAACCCCCCATGAATTTGAATCGAAACCCGAAGGCAGGCGGGGATTTTCCCTTTCATCTTCGGCCCATTCTGGGAGTCAAGCCTAGAATTTGAGCGAGGGAACCGAATCAGATCCAGGGAACACGGGGAGGAATCGCAAAAGAAAGAAGGAGAAGGAGAGGCGGAGGGAATGGCACCTGGCAGAGAACCAAAACCATGCGGGGCATCTTTTACATTTGCGCAGAACTACGAGACCCGGGAAATGGTGGTGGGTGGGTTCGAGTTTGGGAGACGGGAGGGAGGGAGGGATGGAGGGGTGGTTCGAGCGATGTCGAGGAGGGAGGAAAAAGGTAGGGAAGGAAGGAACGAACACAGAGAGAGAGAGAGAGAGAGAGAGAGATTCGAAAGTTGTTTTTGTCTTTTTTTGGTTGTCTTTGAAAATTGTCAGAGATGCACACGACTCGCCACCATCTCCAGGGACCGTTTTTTGCGAACAAGGTCTTAGAAAAGAAAAAAGAAAAAAACGAACGGAAAAAAAGAACACATTACTGTTGTTGTTTTTGTTGTTGCTGCTGTTAGTAGTAGTATTTGGTCAAAAGCAAGAATCCAAATAATCATCTAACTAAATAACGAAGAGCCTAGGAAGTAATATCAGTTGATTTTATATGAACCTGATTGGAATGACTTATATTATTCTCTTCAAGAGGTTTGTATGAGGAAGTTTTGGAATTTGAATTGTTTGTGCTTCAATATGGCAGGCGCAGTTTGAGATTTAACAAATGAAGATAGGGTTTCACATTAATCTCGGTTTTCTTTTTTCTTGCAATTTTATCTCAACTTCCAGTTCTGTCCACTCTAATCGGTTGTCACGAATTAGTCATGCAACTATTAATGCTAAAAGCTCTATGTTTTTCTAAATGAGTTTGGTCAAAATCATACTTCATTCGACGAAAATTCGAGTGATCATACTCTATAAATGTCAGGACTTGATGAATAGATTTGACAACAATTATGACTTGGTTGTATTTTTGCACTAAACGGTTAGCATCTTTCATCTTCAATTTAAAATAGGACTCTGCCCTGCCTAGGATATGAAAAGTACCTTTAAAAATAGAAATTGTTACCGTGTTTTCATTAACGGGAAATTTCCTAAAATCGAGGATTGTTTACGGCATGACAATAACTAAATCAAGAAACATGGTGTAACATCTCTCTCATTCCTTTTTTTTTTTTCACTTTTCTTTCTTTGGCGACTTTTCGAAATAAAGTTCTTGATTAATCTCACTAAACTTCAAAAACCTCACATTAATTCCAACACGGTAATTCAAATTAGGGAAAATGATACTGGATCAATGTGTAATGTCATTCTTGAACTTTTAATTTGTTTAATGTGGTCCATGAACTTTTGATACATGTTCAATGTTATCATTCCATTAATTCAAGTTAACGCAATTTGCTAATTTGACTTCCAATCCTGCATATTTAAATGGTAGACAAAAAAAAAATGCTACACGTGAAATATCTATGTAAGGTATTTAACTCAAATCATGATATAATAATCCTTGTAATTTGTTTAATTTGGAAAACGTGAGTTATTACAGGCCTGTAAGGTAGATTCCTTAGGTGATAAGCCCCTACGTATTATGTGCCTTATATCCTGTGGTGGATTCCTTAGGTGGTGAGCATTTATTTTGAATCCTGGTATCGATTAATATCAGAGCCTAGGCTATGGTAGGTTGTGGTTATGAAACTAATGTCAATGCACCCGCTATACTGTGATCTTGAATTGGCCGATTTGAGAAGACAAGTGCAACAACTCCATAAAAAATTGGAGCAATCTCAATTGTTGAGTCGCGATGATCCCCGTCATGATCATGAAGAGGAAGAAGACGGAGAGGAGATTAAACCCTTCCATGAAGACCATTCCAACACATCTAGTGATGAGGCTCTTCTGCATTATTGTCGTTGGAATCGTGATTTTCGCGATTTCGATGTCCAAGCGACATTTCAAACTTTGAAGGCACTATGCATCCAGAAAAACTTCATCGATTAGCTCAACGGTCAACATAATCGAGCGAGTTTTCAACTATAAGAATATTGCAGAGAATTGAAAAGTGGAATTTGTGGCCATCAAACCCGAAAACCATGCCTCGATTTGGCGGGAAAATTATAAGCCTTGAAGAGCTCGCGAAGATAAGTGGCAAATTGAAACGTGGGTTCAAATGAAGAAGAAGCTCAAGAAGAAGTTTCTTCCTGAAACTTATAGCTGGATGTTTTCTTCAAATTCCACTATTTTATAAAAGAGGAGTTGTCCTTGAGCTATCCGCCAAATTTGAGCATCTCATGCTTCGATATGAGGTGGTTGAGGCCGAGGAGAAAACTATGGCTCGTTACCTTGGCGGCAGATGTTGTCCAATCGTAACCCTATTGGAATTTGAATGATGTTTGCAGATTAGCCATGAAGACGGGGGAGCAACTTAAGGGAAAAAGCAAGAGAAGATGTAAACCGTCGAGGATAATCTAACCAGGGAAGTTCGAGCCAGGAATCTTTCTCGACATCGAAGGTGACCTCCTCAAAACCATGGTATAAAGAAGCATCTCAAGCTAACCATCCTGACACTTTTAAAAGTAACTCAAGAAAGTGTCATGGATTTGGTCATATCACTTCGGAGTGTCCTAATAGGAAGATCGTTACTCTCGTGGAGGATGAACGTGAAGGCAAGTCACAATATGACTCTCCGCTCCAAGAAGACTCAATGAAGAAGAATTCACTTTCGGAGTTCAAGGAGAGGAAAGGAGCTCAAACGCCGTTCATCTCGAGGACGACATATGGCTTTGTAACAACGTATGTCACACCTAGTGCACTTCTCACGAAAAGGTATGCAATGTCATCATCGACAGTGATGTGAGAAAGGTGTGATCACCACCATAGAGACAAGTTGCAACTTGCAAGGGAAGATGGAGGACCATCCACATCATTACAAAGCTTTCATGGCTTAAGAAAGGGAATGAGGCAAATTAAATAAGCGATGCTTAGTTTCATTCTCTATTGGCGAATATTACACAGAAGATGTTATGTGTGATGTTGTTCCTTAGGATGCGTGTCATCTACTTCTTGGACGACCGTGGTGCATGGTCGGAAGGGGATCGACGATGGCTTCAGAAGCACCTATTCATTCGTCAAAGATGGCGTCAATATCATGTTGGGCCCTTGCAAGATGGAGAGTTTCTAAAACCTACTCAAAGGAGAAGGAAGAAATCTTCTTTCCCAAGTCTCATTTTTTTAAAAGCATTGAAGGATTCTTGTGAGGCTTATGCTCTTATTACAGTGGAAGAAAAATAAAGCAAAAGAGGAGATCCAAACAATTATGTGGTTTCTACTTGACGAGTTCTGTGATGTCATGCCCAATGAAAATTCATTCGGCCTACCTCCTGTGAAGGAGATTCAACGTTGCATAGATTTTCAGCCCGATGCTTCTATTCCAAACAAGACAGCCTATCCAATGAGTTCTAAGGAGATGTTCTCTTCTTGAGCGTATCAGGAAAATCAAACCGAGAGCAAATGGTCCATTTCGAACCTTAAAAGAGAATTAGTGAAAATGCTTATAAGATCAAATTCCCCAGTTATTATGGTGTTTCGACGACATGTCTCCAATCTTTCTCCTTATGTCGATGATGAGAATGAGCCCGACTTGAGGACAAGTCCTTTCCAATCAGGAGAGAATGATAAAGAATTATCTCAAGAGGACTCAGCCTTATCCATCACTTAATGTACAATTGTTTTAGTGGGATAAGTTCAACTCTATTGGCAGAATTTCAAGAGTCAGTTTTTTTCTACATTTTGATAAGAATCTCGCGCTCCAATTTGGTCTCATTATACATGATTGGAAAGCTCTATGTATCTATTTCCTAATGCATCAAGTTTCATACTATTTGGAATCTTCTAAAGGAAGTTATGCTCAACTAACTAAGTTCCGTTAAGTTTACACGAGAATCGGTCTTTTGAGTCTTTCTATAGGTTTGTTGGGTCCTATGCAAAGTATTTTATTCCTAGGATCATCTTGAATCAAGAGTCAATCTTCCTATTTATTTTTTTTGTCTAGGATTATTGGTCTTGTCTTGGAACAAAAGATAAGGTGTACTAGAATTTGCTTATGTTTTGAGGTTTGTTCCAAGTTGACTCTATTTAAACTCCTCTAAGGTTTCCTTGAGGGTTAGAGTGTCTCAATTAATAAAGTTCATGATTGAACTCTTGTACTAGTGCTTTATCTTAACTCTTTTATCTCTTTTGGGGATTCAATTGAATGGTGAGTTTAATGCCCTATATCCTAAGGTGGATTCCTTTGGTGGTGGGTACTTTACTTTACTAGATACCTTGTATTCTAAGGTGGATTCTTAGGTAGTGGGCATTTATTTTATCACACTTGTATTACCTTTTAAATCTCCAACCACTTTAGTACCAATAGCTATGGAGGGCGCCAAGGCTCTGGATTTGGAGGCGCTACATCTAGCGATGGTGGTTTGTCCATGGCCGCAAGCTTTGATGACGAGGCTGAGATTCTGAGGCTCATGGACTAGCCGTCGAGACAAGCGACGGCTGTGAGCTCAAAGAAAAGGTAAAAAAAAACAGAGGCAAGGAGGTCAGGCTCGGCTTGGATGGGGGGTGGGGGGAGATGGAGCAAATACCGAGACGACGGCGGGCAGCGGCACGGCTCGTGATGCGCAGCGGTGGCGAGGTGGTGTCCGTGTGGCTCCCGGCGGTGGTGTGTCGAGGGAGACCCTAAACCCAGTACTGAAATCAATCGGACTCTTGTCATGCTGCACTGACATTAAACTTAAAAGCAATTGTCATGCTGCACTGACATTAAACTTAAAAGCAATCGTGGAGCCACCAGCATCGGTAGGCAGGGATAGCTGTGGGCCAGGTAGAGTAGTGAGCATTGACCAAGTCTCTCTAGTCCTTCGCTTGGTTTTATCCACCGCCCTTATAGGTGTATCCGGCTATTAATGGTCGATGTACCGTTCGTATCTCACCACATCGCACTTGCTTAATCACACTTGATGCGTTTGAAAGGTCTATAGAAACAGGAATGTAATTTGAAAGGGAGAATGAAAAGGTTGGGTAAGAAGCAGAAGTGACGATATTAAGAGGAACGATGTGATGACGGAGCGTTGCTCGGGGAGCCATGAGAATTGCACCATAGCCTCACATTTAGTTAACTTCACCGTCCAATGGATGGTGCCTCTTGCAAAGGCTGAAGGGG